AGCTTCATTCTGGCAATTGTTTAATTTCCTCAAGCGCTTTGTGGGTGAAGTCAGTGTACTCATCAAAGGGGCAGATTCACTGACTCAATAAATCATCAATTAATAAATCCTTGTCACAAAGGAGTCTTTAGCATGCAAGATGTCCCTTGTTGGTCAGCAGGATGCTTCTCAAACACTCCCCCCTTGCTCTCAGTTTCTCTGAGATCATGCCATAATGATGACCCTAGGCACACTTTTAATCACTCTTTGCATTGCCCTTTTAACAATTATTCCAGTCCTCTGCACAATTTAACTCTTGAAGAATGGGATGGATTCCTGTGGTTGTTCATTGCTAGACGCAATACTTTGGGGTGCATTCGTTTTTTTTCTCACAAAATAAGATGCGCTAATGGAAATGTAGAAATATTGTCTCCTATGGCTTTCCCTCCATGTATTTCTGTTGCTGTATCACGCAAGTTAACTTCCACAATACTTGCTCCAAAGTTTGATTGAAGAAAAGTTGAGGCATCAGATAGAAGATTATTGTTTATTTTTCTTCTTCTTAAATGTCACTCACTCCCACTCTTACAAGCCAAAATGAACTATCTGGTCACAAAGATTTTCTTGCAGAACTACAAAAACATAAGTAATACACAGCAACACATCTGATGTTGTTGTCAATAATAGTTTTAAATATTTGTCAATTGTAATCTTGATGAGAATGGCGGTTGTTGTATCTTCATACTTATATACTATATACTTTTGTTGTATTTACAAAAGTATATTAGAGCTGTCAACATAAACACATTAATCTATGCGATTAATGTGGCCTAGATTAATACAACAAAATATTTTAACGTAGTTAACGTTCATTTGTTTACTTCCGGTTTACTTCCTGGACCCGGAAGTAAACCGGAGGTTGACCACGGAAACGAAACGGCCGCTAGGTGCAGTCAGTTACATCAAGATGGAGAGAGCCTTTTGCATTAGAAATAAAACAAATAGCGATGCCACATACACCGGAGAACTGTGCAGAGGAATTACTCCAAGTGTCAAACAGAAGGAGGGTGAGTGGCAAACGGACCACTTCGAACATTGCTAGGCTAAGCTAGCTACTTGGCTACTTCCATCTCAACATCTAAGTTACACTGCGTGGCACACAGTCTGCAGAAGACCACCACTGTGTCCCTAAAAGACCGTAGTTTGAAAACGTCCTGGCCAAATGTGGGGAGATTGTTGCCACTTCAAACACAGCCGTTTAATCGTGGAGAGTTGAGAGCAAAGTGCACAAGAACAGCAGGAAGGGTCGCTAGTTCAACATGTTGAACTCTTGCAGAACTACAAAAACATAAGTAATACACAGCAACACATCTGATGTTGTTGTCAACAATAGTTTTAAATAGTAAGAGTTCAACATGTTGAACTAGTGACGTTGGAATTCTGCCTCCAAGATGATCAAATGTGTGTAGTTAAAAAAAAAAATAGCATTACCAATTAAACAACAGTGTCTAAAATACGCACATTCTAAAGTGATTACTCATTACTTTTAAGATTTAGTCTTTAGAAAAGAAAAACAAACATTCATCATAAACAACATTGTAACAACAACATTCATTAATCGGCTATCAAGATTAATGAATTTCAAAATGTGCAAAATAGTTAATTAAATAAAAATGTATTGACAGCTCAAATATAAATGACTCATGACTGAACAATTTGTTCTTTGCCGTTAAATTTGAAATTAAATTTACATTTTTTTTAATTCAACATATACTCACTCTATGATTTCTATGGGCAATATGTTTCTAGTGCTGCAGCACCACATCCATGTTTGAGAAATCTACATGTAAATAATAAAGTAGCCTTCAAGGTTCATGTGTTTCCCCTTCACGGGCGCTGTTATTAATAGCATCATCTTTCTTGGCGGCCTCAAATACAGGATGAAATATTTTGACATGTCCATAGCAGAGGAGGGAGTTCCAGGCCAAATAAACATTTGTTTTAATTAATCATTATATTGTGCATTAAAGGTAGCTTTACAGCCCACTGGCCTCTCTCTGTAGTTCTGACATCAGCTTGAGTCAGAGGTCTGTATCTATTTAAAGAAAATCTTTACGCAGATAAATTATTTTTGAGAAACGAAGGGTTGAATCTCCTGTGTTTTCTTTGACCTTGTGAACAAACTACAGAAAGTGGAGCAATCGATCGCTACCCTCTGAAGATGCAGCAATATTGTATTTCGGAATGAACAGTGAAAAAAAACAACAACTAGAAGTCAAGCCACATGAACAGCTGTGTTGAGATAAACCGTCACCCCATATGCTGACGAAAAACAATCTCTTCACATTATGGAGAGTGAAGATGAAAAAAAAAAGCACTTAATCAACTAACATTGATATTACTTCTGGCAATTAGGAGCATGCTGGTAATGATATGAGTTTTCAGCTGTAAATAATTATGCTGCCTGCGGGCCATACTTTAATTCTCGGCTGTATCTATAAACAATAATCAAACCAACAGCAGCAGGCTAAAAGTTAGAGATTTGCGGTTTGCAGAGCAGCGGCTGAGGAGCTTATTGGAGCCCTGTGGTGATGCCTGTAGTCAGGGTCACCTTCAGGTGCTCTCTCATCTGTACACCAGCACGCTAATGCGCAGCTCTATTGATCAGCATGTACGCGTCAACACATAATAACACACACAGTGTTATGTGCATGATACTTCATAGATACTCACACACATCCCGTATAGATACACATCAGGGTACTGGGATAGTACAACGACGCTTTGATGCATTTGGATAGGAATTTATTCATTCATTTATTTTGGTCCCCCCCCCCACCCTTTTAGTGGATTAGTCGACTGATTTGTTGTTTTGGTTTTAAGATTTATTTTGTCGATTAGTCGTTTCTTATTCTTTCTTTTAATGCTAAAAGTTCCATGTCATAAATCTCTAAGGAATTGATGAGCACTTCTCTAGTAAACACACATATATGTATATATATATATATATATATACACATGCTTTAATACCTGTTTACTGTGAGGCTGCTGCTAGTATGTGGCAGTTTAAAAAGAGTAAAGACAGAAAATATAATACAAGAGTGAGACTTGACAGCAAACGACTCTCTGTCAAACAGGAAGTGACAGCTTGCTGATGTACAAGGACTAAGATGAATTGCATAATCAAGGAAACGTATGAAAGTCGGCACTGGGCCTGAGATTAATTAGGAGTGTGTCGATGCCCTCATCAATATCCGATTAACTAATGACACATGGCCCAATGAAGGCTATTGATCTGCTCCAAGTCTGCTGCGTTAATAGGTTAAGGCCGACATTCGACGGGAAAGCTGACAGAAAACTGCGAGGAGAGTTTCGCAGCGCGCAGGACTCAGTGCCCTGAAAACGGCAACGTCGGAAACGTCGAAAACGTCCCCTCAGTCATAAGCAGTCAAGTCACATCCGTTTTAACGTGTTCTCACGGGGTTTCAGTGATTGCTGTGACCACAACTACACTTATCCAGCGTTGCTAGAATTCCCATCCTTTTAGTGATAATTAAAAATGACCCCAAAGGATCCCCCTGCCCAAAAAAGAAAAAAAAAACATAGGACTCAATCTAGATTAATGGTGATAGCGCGGCCAACATCATAAGTTAGCCTCTTTATGATAATGATTGTAATGATAATAATGAACACTTGGATGAAGGATGAACAATCCCCTGTCCTGGAGTTGAATCCCTACACAGGTTAATTAGGTAAGATAACATCATTAGCCACTCTTATGCCTGCATGGAAAATTAATTGGAAAAAAAGGAGATTTAGGTCTATATTTAATCGCATAAACGATCAACGACAGCTAAGCCGGGTAATGGGAGGTCCAAATCGGTGGGCATCTTATTTAGATCACATTTTAGCTGCTTAATGAGCAAAAAAAAAAAAGATCCCTGTGGTTTGTCGCATGAAGAACCACTTTGCATGCACAGTATTGATTATAATGTGCATTAATGAGGTTTTATTGTGCCTTGTTAACTTCTGATTGTTTCAGCACTGCAGGATAATCAAGAAGTGATTGTAACGTGGGTCACTTGAATGAACACAACAAAGTTCACAGCACCAAACATACAACTTTACGTGTAACATAACAATAGCTTCATCTTTCAAAGCAAGGACTGACCATATGAGGACTATTTATTTGTATTTCACTTAAACAATCTCTCTTCCTCGTTTGAAAAGGCCACCAATGGCCTGATGGCTTTGCATTCATCAATAAAGCCCAGTCTAGCTTGTTTGTTCCGGGGGGGGGGGGAATTTAGATGTACTTCCTGATCTGTTCTAAGGGGGACATCGGTGTAAATATCCCCTTATGCAGATCGCGAGCGGGCTAATCCGCCGGGCCGTTTTGCACCCATTCTTCACAGCAGCTGCTTGCTGCGTTGTGTCCGGGTGGGGAAAATCTGTTTGTCTGCACTTCCCTCTAAATAATGCATGTGGGGAACTTTTGTGTGAATTGCCATATCCTGCATAATGGATGCCAAGAAAGCAGTGTGAGTACGTCACCTTCAGTTCTGGGGGAAGTTTGCTGTAATAAGCACAGAAAGGTGACAAAGCAGCCCGTTTCACCCGTAGTACATCTGGCCTCGGTGAGACAATAAGTTAGCATCTCTTTGACAGAAAGCTATGCCACACTCCCCATTAATAATGAAAAAAGGCAACACAAAAGCAGCGATGCCATCTGGGGGGGTGAGATTGACACAGATGAAACTTTATCTCAACTCAACGGTTATGGTTTTTGGTAAATGGCGTTAGACTGTCAGATATCTCTCCTTCTCCCTCGGTGGAAACACACACAGCTGCTGCTTGTATCATTTAAGTACCGTTTACCTTTTGCTCAACTTAGTTTACACACACAACTCAGGTGGGAACCTGAGATGTAAATGATGTATGTTATATATTTGGGAGGTCTATAATCTAATTCAGACTCTCTCTGCTGCTCCTTGTTTCCGGCAGTGAAAGTGAGCAGGAGGCGGTTACCTGAGACTGTGTGTACATGTACGTGTGTGTGTTGTTACGGACTGCGTCATCGTCACCTTGGCAACTGCGGTGTAGCTGACCATGAAGAGGAAGACTTCGGGCCTCGCAAGGTAAAACACCATTTGATTATTAAAAAAAACAACATGCATGTGTACAGTTAATAATATATTGGGCTAGTTATTGTAAATTAAGTTGACTTGAGTCACATTCTGAAGACATTACCTGAGCAATGTGCTCCTAAATTCCCCTAAATAAAATGTCAAATATTTGCATGACCTCGCTCACCCCGCTGTTGGTCACTTCACAGTGCACTGCTGATAGAAGTATTCGTTCGTGCACTTTAAAGTGCAAACACTACATTTATAGTGAATGCGGATGCAAAATGTCTTCAGTGCCCAGCCAAGAAGAAAGTGCTGCCCTTTTCCTGCCCTCACTGTCAGCCGCGTGAACTTCTACGTCTTCAGGGAGACTGGCTGTTGTCAAACATTTAAAAAACGCCTCCGTCCACAAGCGAATGAAATAGTCTTTTGGTAAGCGGTGCCCTGTCCCCTGGTGACTATTGAATTACATCCCTTATCCGTGTTCACGGGGAAGGAAAAGAATGTCAAGCAAAGATTTCAGGTCGCACTATGCCATAGAAAAGGGGAAGTGCTTTGTGTAGTGCAACACAGACCCCACTGTCACTGTGGATTAAGGGTCGATGGAGTTTAGCTGCCTGGATGACGGAGGAGATGGTCATTCTCAGGGCAGGAGAGGGAGATGAAAAAAAAACCACCACGGATACTCACTTTCTTTGTAACTGATGTGGGAAGGAGGTCCTTTTTTTAGGTTCCTTCTGTCATTATTTGTAGACTGTGGGAATTTGGAATAAGTGTGTCATTCATTATATAATTATCTTTAAAAATGGGATGGGCGGGGGACTGGGGGGGGGCTCTCACAGAAAGACAGACCGAGATTCATATTGCTACAGCAGCATTCACACAGGTAAAGACATAAGAGTAAAAATGTTGAATGCAAAGAATGCAAAATATATACAAAGAAATAGAAAAGTATTAGAATGAATTCAATAACTAAACAATGAGTAGGGGTTCCCACTAATTTTGCATACTTTTTGAAATCCCAAAACACTTGCTTGGGCAGAAATAACTTCTATAAAAATATTCAGGCATGCATGTGGCATGTTGCTTAGCCATCATTTGACAGCGGTTTTGTTTTTCCGCGGTTAATGTCTGACCACATGTGCTTATTCCGGGCATGTTGCTGACTTCCAAGCGGCGCGGCGCACACGGGTCCCTGCATTTCGCTGCACGCTGCCTCGTGTTGGCTGTGCATACCGGCCTGGTAGTGTTGCTGAGCGAGTTTTTTTTACACAGCAGTGAACTCAAACGTGTTTATCCTTGGTACTAACTAAAGTCCAGTGAGTCCATCCTACGGTTCAGGACTTCAGGGGTTTGTTGCACGTACTGCAATAAAATCTGAGTTCGGGTTTGGACAGAAAGCCTGATCCTCGAGCTGAAAAGTGAGTCAGACGTTTAAGCGGTTAACAACGTTGTTGGCAATCTCATTGGTTTGGGAGCCAGTGTTTGGCAGGAGCCATGCAGTTTTAACAACTATTGGACTTATTTTTCTCACAGCATCACCATTTTACAGCCCATATAAAACATTCACACACACAGCAAATTAAAAACAGGAATTCCAGGCTGTCTGTAATTCAATAAAATACACTTGTAAAGGAAATTCTGTAAAGTACCTCCTTATCTCAAAGTATCGTCCTTCCTTTGTGTAGCTGGCGATAAGCGCCATTGGACACAAATAGACGCAGCTGGAAATGTAGCTACGGCTCCACAGTTGTTTACACAATCAAGTTTCTCCGCGGGCCGCGATAAGGTGCATGGATATCCTGTGGTCTTTGCCTGGTTAATGTGTACGGACCGCACACTGGCTCGGCTTTCACTGAGTTATTACGCCGAGTGTAATTTGAAACAATTACAAAAACACTGGCCCACTTGTTACAACACTCATTTTGCCCTCACATATACAAACCACAGATTCAATAGCTTTACATGTTTTTCAATCACACCCAGTGGAGCAGTGTTCAGTGTGAAAAAGTATAGCATTTCATTGTAGCTCGCATGGTATGGGATAATCTTTCACATATTGCCCGGGGTTTGTTTTGCTATTTCAGCAGAAACTTGTGCAAGCCATCTGAATTACCAGAGGAAAAAAGATGATAAAAATACCAAATAACATTCTATCAGATGTAAATGAATAAACTATTTGAATAATCAGTACAAATAATTGGTTATCGGTGATTATAAATGGTGTTTATTGTACTTTTATTCTCCGAGATGCATTGCAGAGATAACGGGTTTAAACACACAAGCAGGGGAGTGCTGGTGTAACGCCGCATGGCAGGAAGGATTTTATTCTGCAGAGTAAGCTCTTTTGCAAATTCTAACGCTAATGACATCAACCAACTTTAAAGTATGAGGTAAACTTAAAGTTGGGGTTTTATGTCAATATTCTCCCCGATGTGCAGTTCAGATTACTGGAAGCGCTGCTACCTCACGTTTAACTAACGTGTTCTGTGTTGCAGGCCTCGCCGGGGGTCAGCGACCGGGGTCAGCCGCCGATGATCTTTTGGCAGTTTTTGCGGCGATGGACACCTTCAGCGGTGTGAGTACAGTTTCACCTCTGGCCTCTCAAAGCAAGTGTAGCCGAATGCACAGAGGTCGGGCCCCTTGCACCTCCGTCCCGCTCGCTGAAGGTGCTGGTGCAGTCTGACCATTGACATTTAGCATTCCTCTGCGCTGCCGCTGACTTCTCAACGGGGGGGGGGGGGGGGTCGAGGGGTGCAGAGGCCACAGCCTGCTTCTCAAGGGTAAAAACAAAAAGGCTCTTGAAAATCCCAAGGAGTTCCCATGATCCCAGGAAAGACCTTGATCCGACCTGTGTTAGATTTCCATTCCAGGGATTAGGGGCACACAAAAAAACGACAGATTTGACTGACATATTTTATCTTCTGCACTGGATTTCGGACAATGAATAGCAATGTTTTCCTTGACTGACACGTCTCGCATGGGGATTTTCTATATGGACAATTTGTACAAGCTTCACAGTTAAGTTCAGCTTTCTTTTTCATAATCATGCCGCGTTCATGGTCTTCACTGACATTTTTCATGTCGGTGCAAAAGCTTGTAGTGACATTTAATGGTGGAAAGTTTTCAAAGTCATTTCTTAAGGTTCTTTTCCAGTAACATACACAATCTGTTAGCATCAAAGGAGCACACATGCATAAATAATTGACTAATTCACTTAAAGGGGGCCAGCGTAGATTAATTAAGCTTGAATACTAATTATGTTTTCTGTCTACACCAACTGACGCGGTTGTTGTTTAATAAGAAACTGTTTGGTGGGTCACAATCACCGCGCACATATAAGGCCGCTCCATAAATTAAGAGGGCTTCCCATTTTCAGGGTAGAATTGGCTTTGTGTGCCTTTGAAACTAAACGCTGACCTTATCTGCAGTGATTTAAATAAAGACGCTTTGTAGATGTTTTCATTATTCCTATGACATTTTATTGATATGGTCATTTCTATTATGTTGACAGATAACACAGGACTTTATAAACATTAAAACACTTCAATGTCTGTTGATTTGGGTTTATCTTCATGTCATTTATCATTTTAGTAGTTCCCATTGGGACGTTTAGTCACACATGTATTCATATAAGGGCAACATCATCCTGTGCCACTCTACTGCCAGAATAGCCCGGGAACAAACACAGACCTAATGTTCTACATCCATGCACTCTAATGGAGGGACTACATCTCTTCAGGGATCTCTATGTCTTAAAACTCGTGTCATTTCCCAGAAACACTCGTGTCCTTGACTCCTAACGCCCGGCTCGCTCGTCCACAAACGGTATCCGCGAGTCGCTCTGCGAAGACGCGTTTTTTTACTGTCTTCGCTCCCCCCGGCGCGCGGCGACAGAGGCGGACGGCTCAAAGCCGGGGCCTTGTTTACAGCCCGCGCGGGGAAGAAGAAAACAGGCAGACGTAAATGAGGGTTGACGGTTTCATGAAGCACAATTGGTTGATGGCAGATTCAATGTGACTGGGCTGAACTGGGCGATGATCCGTACAGTATGCAAAATTCACTTTCTAGCTGGTCTGCGCCCACCAGCCCCTAGCAGCGAGCGGTCTTCCCTAAGCCCTTCTAGCTATGCCTTTGAATGCAACAAGAACTGAACAAGGCGTTGTTGTGCTCAATTCCTTTTGACAACAATCACATTTGAAGAAAAAAAAAAAACAAGAGGGAAAGAAAAATAAAAGTGTCTTTTTTTTTTTTTTTTTTTTTTTGACACCAGTTATAGATGATTTTCTTTCTCATGTTGACTGCAAAATAAGCAGTTTGTGTGCCGCCGCACGGTGAAGTGAAGGAAGTGTGACGGCTTAAGGGGCCATGCGGGGATGATGTCACATGACACGACAACCAAACTCGGAGGCTGTTGCGTTGTGCTACCGTGCATGTATGTTGTAATGCACCCAGATTTCTTGGCACCTGATTTTGCCGCAGCACCCGGAATTTAACATTCATGTTTTAATGTTGACAGGAATTTTTTTAAATGTTAGCTCGCATTGGGCCGATTTACACTGGTATTGGACAGAATTCTCACCTCTGCCAGTTCACTTTGTTGTTTCATGAACATCCATTAACCTATTTCTTTAGTTTTTTTTCCCCCTCGGGATGGAATTGTTGTTTATCTTTTCAGAAATGCAGCATCTGCATGTTCCATCCGGTTATGGCACATTAAACATCAGTCCGCGTATTACAAGGAGCATGCTGTCAATGTCAGTGGGGTCTAGGGAGCGAGATGAGAAGCAGGCATTTGTCTCAGCTCTCGAGACGCAGAGGCTCACATGGCGCTGTGTGGATTAGATTTTTAGTGACAATGACCCGAAGCTTTAGGCCTGGGGTGTATGTACTGTACTCCTTCTGCGTACCTTCCGCTGTGTGTATATGCTTTTTTTTATTGTAACTGAACCCTATGGCAAAAATACATTCATTGTCATCAAAGGACTCATTGGCATTTGCAGAACATGGAGTTGATTTACTTTGCACAGTGAGAACCATTGGCACGTTTTTCTATGTGAGTTGCAGGTTAAGCTACACATATGTGGAGGCAGCTATGCTTAACACTTATAGGCTGGAAGATGTTCTCTTTCTCTTCAGTAATTACTGAGGAACAAAACAAATTTGAATAACCTAAGATAAAACTGAATGTGTTTTTTTCCTTTGATCTACCCAGTGTGCCTTTAGCCCTGAAGGCAAGAGCAATCATTATAGAATGTTATCCTCCTTCGTTGTTCTAATTTAATGATTAATTACTTTAGGAAAATATTATATCAACTCCAACAATACTTTACAAAGTATTCACTGTTAAATCTAAGTAAAGCAGTTAAAATATAAGAAATGATTGTAGAGAAACATTATTTTAAAATGTATTCTTTATCGTTTACAATTAATGAATGCAAACGTCATATTAACTCGATAATGTTACGCTGGCCTTGTGTCACTAAAAGCAAATGGTGCTTGTTTGTATCATTTTTTTTTTTAATAAATAAGTGACCTGATTCATTTTTCCATGATTGTTTTCCGTGAAGTTTCAAATTTTGCATATGCGCCCAAACAAAACAATTTTTGTCTTGCAGAAAGGTGTGTTTGATAAAAAGTAATTAAGAAAACCAAGAGAGACAATCACCACTAATGTTGAGTTTGCCAGTGTCACACTCGGCAGTATGTGAAACTCAGAAAAACTGATTGGTACCCAGTCGAAATGAAAATGGTTTTTAAATAAGTTACAATTAGATAAGCATTAATCTCAGTGGTATAAATGGATGTCTTGCTGTAGGGCTTGTTGAATGTAAAAACAGATTTACAAAAACTCCTCTTACCAGATTGGTCTAGAAGTAGTCCTTCTCCATTTTAATTGCTCTGTCATTTAGAGTTGAAATAACCCCCCCTCCCCATTCTGCCCCTTGATTTTGCCTTTGAAATTAAATATTGTATACAAATACATGCTGTTCATGGGCATGAGCACAGTTCATCACTGAAATCTGCATAAAATGATGCTTAAAAAGCTCCATGCGCTTTGAGCAACCGAGCCCTTTCATATGGTGCATTCTTATGTAAACATATCCATAACAAAAACAACTACTTATGCCTTTTACCTCAGCTTTCTCATTCTTTGGCATGTCCACAGAAATGAGAGCAATGTGGGACTGCAGTTTGCTTCCCGTACTCTTGATTTTCAAAGGAACCCGTTTCTTTCCATCCATTGAAATTTAGACCACCTACAAGTCCCAATAGTGATGACATTTACAGTATATATATATATAAGAGATAGATGAATCACCTGTATGTCACATTTGTTTTACATATATTGAAATTAATATATTACAAATCCAAGCTTTACAGCATACAAGGAGGCCTGATAACAGGCCTTTTTCTCTCCTTTGAGATGTTTTAGGTTGGGTTCCTGTGAATGGAAGTAATGAGAAGCAGTGTGCCTGGATTTCCATACTCATTTGCACACAGAGACTGTGTACTCTCATGCAGCCTGTGAGAAAATGCATAATTTTCCAGGAGAGAGTGTAGTTGCCCATTCATTTTAGAAACAAGGAGAAAGTATTTTAATGTGACCTTCATTACACATTCATGTCAACTTTTCTTATCTATTTATGATTAAATTCTTTTCCACTCCTGTTGTTCAATTAGTGCTTGACCCCTTTAGCGGCGATGTAAATTAAATGACATTTTAGTGTCGTCCCATATTTAAAATACTGCGTTAGTTGCGGATCATAAATGATGATCTTCATTCTGCAGCTAATTTATTCATTTAACAATTTCCCTCCAGAAGTTACAGCAGAAGGCTCTGCAGCAACCTAAGCAGAAGAAATCCAAGTCGGCTGAATTTCTGATGGGTGAGTCCTGCTTGATGAGTTATTGCTCATAATTTGTGTAAGGATTAATTAACTAATTACAGACAAATGGCTTTGGGCTAAATTTTGCTCTTGCTTGTCAGGGCACAATTTGTAATTATTTTAATCATTTCTTCTTCTTCCCTTTTTTTTCTCCTCCTTTGCAGGATTCAAATTTAATTTTAACCTAATTGTGTTTTAGTGTCATTCTCGGAGGATGCGCTCAAACATTTAGGGGCACAGAAATCACCAATAGAAACATTTTGTGGCCAATAAATGTGCTTTTGTTATTTTATGAGTTACTTTGAATTACTTTGACCTAACTGTAAGCGTTTTGTATTTTTTTTAAATTCATGCTCTTCCTTATTTCGTCAGGGCGAGAGCAGAGAGACACTCTGGTGGGCATAGAGAACCCGGCATTCGACGGAGGAGGAGGCGTCGAAATCTCCCTCGCTCCTCCTGCGTGGCTGGGGAGAGAAATCCGAGGTGACAGGCCAGATAGCACCCTTGCAGCTCACCCAAAAAAAATGGAGCTGCGAGCCGCTGCCAAAGAAAGAGGTGAAGCTTCATTCTTCATTAGCCTCAGATTCGTTGACAGTAGCTGTGTTCCTGATCCAACCTTTCTCTCGCTCCACTCTTCCGTCTTCTCTTCCTCTCTCTCTTGACTCCCTCCCAATTCGTGAGGGGAGGCGGGGAGGGGAGAGGGGGGGGGGGCCGTGGTCCCCGCATTGCGAGGCGAGCGCGTCCTAACGAGCAAAACCCTCGTATAACTTCTTCCTCCGCTGGAGAACGCCACAGCGGTGGGTGTTCCGTCTCCATCTAGAAGTACCCTCGACACAATCAGCCTTGACTCCCACTCTCGGCTACATGCCTTGTGGTGGGCTGGAGTCATCGGAGAGATGCATTTACATACGCTACTACGCTAACCGAGCCGATCCGCTGTCTGTGCGGTGTACTCACAACGCCCCCGAAACACGGCTTGAGGCCGATCGAGGCATACGAATGTGGCCCCTTATAATTCAGGATGTCAGGGAGAACTCTTGAGGAATGGGATGGTGAATTAGGATGCGTTCAAGGTTGCGAGCGTGCCAGTTTTCTCAAGGATGAGTCACATGTGATACTCTTGATTTAATGTGCTTTATTTTGCCTTTCGCTGTGCATGGCAAGTAATTATTATCATTTATTGTCGTGATGTGTGATACACAAGAGGCATGGTTGCACATCACCGTGGTGCGTGGATCTGCCCGTCGTGACAACATGAACACGTATAAACCTGCAGATAAAGAGAGCAACTTAAGGAGAGCAATCAAGCGTCTCAGAAGTCATCCTCTTTCTTTCCGTTTTGTTTATGCATGTGTGCGTTTTGAAGTGGGTCTGTATGAGGTATTTGGTCATTTGTCCTGTGTGTTTTCTGCAGTCAAGCACGCTTCTTGTCAGTATCTTTGTTGGAAAACCGCACTGAAAGTGACATTTGACTGCACTGATCCAGTCTTGGGCCTTTTGAAGAGAGCAGGGGAAAATATTCTAAATATACATACACTTTTTATCTTTGGTTGAGCCTATCTATTGGGCGGCTAAAAGGTTTTGTCCAAATCAGTATATCTCAGGCAAGCACACTTTAAAAGGTTCAAAACTGTCCCTTTGGTGAAGGAATGCTGTCAACCAAATCAAGAAAACATAACTAAGTCCGATTTTATGAGAAAAGAAGATCCAGTGTCTCTTATAGTGCATCAATGTCGACTATGTCCAAATGTATATTGACATGCTGATGCTGATGAGGGAGGCTACTGATTTTCCTCTTTTCTTTTTTGTCCTATTAATTGGAAATGTTAATTAGGCCACTTACCATACCCTTAAAGCATACAAAATGAACTTAACCATATGGTAGTTTAATGAAATTACAACTCTGGAAAATAGGAAATATTTCATAACGGCACCATATGAATACGTTTTTGTTATTAACAGGCCTCTGTCAAGACCACTTAAAAAATACATGTATATCAAACACTGTGTGTTTTAGAAAAATGTATAACTTTTGTGGTAATTACACAAAATATGATTTGCAAAAACAAACCACTTGCACAAAATGAGCAAAACTTCTTCCGTGTTGACACGGAGGGCCGCTCAGTGTATCACAAAGGCACATTAAATCGTGCTTGTGACACTTATACTTGTCCATAACCAAAATCTTTTCCTCATCTATCATTCTCTGTTAGCAGTAACTCTGGCTGGAAAGACATTCCAGTTACTGATAATGTGCATATGAGAACAGAGGGTTGAAATTTTCATTAGAGAGATGAACTGGAGGACAGCCAGACTATTTAGGTAAATCACAGATATGATTCAAAAGGCGATCCACGAGGCCACCAGCATTATGCAAATTTGTGTTTAAAAAAAGGATTTTATAACATCAGAGCTATTTGCAGAGAAATTGTCCAAAATGTTTGTTAATGTAGAGGGATTTAACATGTGAATTTCACGTTAAATCCCATACAGCTCCTCCTCTTTCATATTTCCTTCAGTCTGAGTAAGGACAGTGTGTGAAAACCTTCTGCCAGGTACGTGATATGAACACGGAATAATCGCAGGGAGCTTTTTTTGCGTATAGTGGACCAGTGGTGCTTCTATAAAAGCATACTTCCCCCAATTTACATGCACACATGCACCAATACCCACCAAATTCTGTACAGGCAATTCTTGTGTGGAATATATGACATGATTTAATGCGCCATGCCTTCTTCTTTTTTTTTTCGCCCCACAACCTGAGAAATACAAGCAAAGCAATTCAGATTGGAGTGGAATATTCAATACCTGTAATGAGAATGATTTGGGGTTAAGAAAGCTGCTCGGTGGGGTGCACCCTTAATAGGAAGAGCCCCGGAGCCGTTGGATTCCCATAAACTCTGCGGAGCAGACTTGATACCCATAGGTCAATGATTGCTAATAAGAAGTCAATGAGACATGGGCTGAGGTTATTTTCCTTTGGATCTGCTCCTCCAAACTTGCCCGGTCCTCTGGGCCGCTGACCTCAGAGCATTTAGAAGGTATTGTCTTTGAAATTCCAGGTACTTTTGAGCTTGAAGACTTTCTCATTAGTTCCTTTTGAACACGGCAAACATATGGCAGTTGTATTTAAGAGATTGCCTGCCGTGACCTTTTGCTGGCATGCTAATTAGGCCCCAGAGCACCGCGGGCCGTGCAGAAGTTGCACCGGGGAACCCGGCAGTCTCATTCCCAGTTCTCTCCTGCCGCCTCTGCAGTCTCTGTCTCACCGCGGCTCCGCCTTATCTGGTAGCAGCCGCTGCCGCTGCCCTTCTACAGTGTGGGTTTGAAAATTAACATTTCGCTTCACGTGCTTCTAATAACCACTAACCCGCACCTGTGCACCCCCTCAAACCCCCTCCACCCCCCCACCACATCTCCCCACCCACGCACCCAATGCCAACTCCCATGCGCTGTTTCTCTCACTCTCCCGCTTCTCGCACCTTTCCACAGGAAATCAACGCGGCCAAAATGACTTTGACCCGTCGTGGGCCGAGCAGACAGACCCAAGGCGTAGCGGGACGGCCGGGGCCGGCGCGGTAGATGAGCTGGAATTAAGTATGTCATTTTCCGTCATAATAGTTCTCCTCGGTTCATTAAAGTGAGGTGAGAGAGATCACCGGCAGCAGGCCGCCCGTTTGTGACGGCGGGGCCGGTCTATGTAAATACACCGAGAGGCGGCGCCGGCAGATTGGCTGCGCGACTCGCTGTCATTGGCGAAGGTCGCGTAGCGTCGGTGGGCTCTCATTTCAGCCGGGGTTTCTTTCTCCTGTCAGATGACACACGCAGAGCCACATCAATAGTTTGCAGACCCCTCCCAAAGAAGGCCTATTAAAAGCGAGCTCTTGGGAGCCAAGTAATATGCATGTTATAATGAAACATGGCTATTAATGGAGAAGCCATTTCACCTGTATCTTTTGGATATCAGTGCCGTGTAATATCAAAGGATTCGCCAGACCAAATCTCATCACATGATGACAGGCCGGCTAACAGGCATGTTAATGCTCCTATTTCATTACCCCTCTGCACACACTTGATTTTCACCCCTCTCCAGCCACGGCTAATATCTCTGGTTTGCATGTTAAGATGAGGTTTAGATTGACTTGTCTGATAAGTAGAAAGTCATTTTAAAGCACACATATGCATGTGATTCCCAGCAGCTTTCGACGCTGTACTCATTTTATAATTGTTTTGACTTGTAGCAACATTGAATGCTGATGAAAACAGACTGTATCATGGAATGTCTTCATTGCTGGATGAGGAGGATACCTTCATTAATATACCTGGTATGTATCCTCATCTTACTTTAATACTGGAGTTCCTCCAGTAATCCTGTTCCTTTAATTCAGAAAGATTGCTTTATTTTTGCATTTCTTAAATTGAGAACTATTACAGTTACAAATTGACAATTGAAACATTTATCCAAATGTGTAACTGCTGGTTAATGATTTTAAGATTTTGTGAATTCATTTAATTTTCACACTGTGGGACCAGGTGTGTAATTTATTACTTTACTAAATTTACATGGAGATATATAAATAAATAAAACACTGTCATACAAAATTACAAAAGTCCAGGATGAGTCATCGAACATTTCACACGTCACATTGATCTTTTGCTTAAGTTGGACTTTAAAGAGGTGCAGTATCTTTAGGTTAAGTTCGAGACATAAAAATCATAAACAACCCCGACAAAAATAAAATGCCACTAACACTGGAAGCAGCACTAACGTGGAACAAAGAATAAGACTAGAAATGGACCTTCGCTTGCAGTCAGCTTTCTAAGCACAGCCATTGTCCCACAGTAGGCGTGTCTTTTCCTCATTAGCTCAGTTTTATTTAAATGCGTAGCCAGCCAGGCAACATTGAGGTGGTTTAAGCTTTGCATTGTTCTGGGCGAAGACAGTCGCAGCAGATCCTGTTGACACGACGCACATCTCCCTTGTAATTCCGGCGCACAAGTGATGGGTTTAGGCCCGCTTCAACACGGTAGAATTTAGCAGGCTTGTATTATTCGCCATTGTCTCGGATTTAGCTGTACCGCCGAGATTAGCGGCGCAATCCATTGTCCGGGAATGTTTCATGAAATCCCACCGAAAAAGTAAAGAGGATCTTGGATTAACAGTTTCCCTCCGTGCAATAGGCTGAGAGACAGGGAAGGGAAGGGAAGAGACACTTCTTACTTCTGTACGGCTTGGACACGGCGCCTGCCAGCAAGCACTTCTCCCAGCTACAATAGGCTTCAATGACAATCACCGTATGCTGTTGTATAGATGCCTCCCACCGGTGTAGGCCGCGTGTCTTCTCTGCAGCCGGCGCTGTGAATGTCACCACTGATCCTGACATTTTGTGACTGCTTCCCATGGCTTTTGTGTTGGCGTCTATAGCCTGCCATAAAGCGGCGCGCGCAGACAGAGCATGAATACGATACGAGCGTTAATAAAATGCGCAGAGGCCCGCGCTGTAGACGTTCCTAGAAAAATCCCTTCTGTCTGTCTAAGATCTTCAGTTCTTGCTTTTTTTAATCTCGATACATTTTTCTTGCTTTGGCTGAGATGAAAGAACACTGAAGGCTTTTCTGTTCCTTCTGGTCCTAGGTAAGACGTCAGGAATTGATATCAGCTTCTATGTGAAAAGCATTAGTCAGTGAGAACAGCTTTGGCTGTTGTGCACATTGGACTGCACACGTTGAATACACTGATGCTCAAAAGAATACCTCTCGCTTTCCACCAAGGCGGTGCAGCAGACTAGAAAAGAGACAAAGCCAGCAGGTTAGCTGCTGTGAATTATGCTTCCCTGCTTACAGCAATTAATTACAGGCTACTAAATAAAAACTTCACCTATGGCGTCAGGGAAAAGGTTTATTGTAATACGTTCACAACTTTACCGTTATTTGCAACCAAAACACAACATCTCCTTTTGATTTTTTGCATAGCAACGCATTCTATATCTGCTCTCAGTTCAAGTTTAAGTAACCAAGTTTACATGCTCTTAAGATTATCCAACGCTACGATATGTATTTCATTATGAGATTCCCAACGTGCATTTTGTTAAACGTTTTTCAATGTTTCAGGTACATTTAGATTTTTCTTTGTAAAAAACCTTGACTTTGCTTGAATGAAGAACTCTTTCATGGAGCCCTATTAGAACTACGGTCTTTTCTCAATTTCAATAAGTCAATGACAAGATTTAGGCATAACTGCATCAAAAGTGGGCTTGAATACGATACTAACATTATCCTTTGTCAATGTACGCATCGTATTCATGTGAGTTGCTGTACCACTGTCCACCTGCACACATATTTGTACATACTCTGTGAATACAGTTTCTGGAGTAAGTATGCACATCCATCAGTAACTGTGTGTGTGTGTGTGTGCCCACTGATGCGGTTCTCTCCAGGTACGCTGCCAGCCTTCAGGGATGAGGAGGTGTTGGAGGTGAAGGCGGGTGATCCGGTGCTCGAGCAGCGACTGCTGCTGCACAGCGGTGGTGAGGCCTCGGGCTCCGGGCCCTCCCAGACCAACACCGCCGCCAAAACCCAGGCTGGTGTATGTGCTGGACTCGAAGCAGGGAGGATGGTAATGGACAGAGAAGGCACTGCAAAAAGTAATGCTATGCTTTCATTTATGTTTTACACTGGTACGTTATTTGTTATTGTGTTGATATCACACCATTGAGCCGAGTGTGATAGTAACGTGTGTTTCCTTTAAACCTGCATTATTTCATTGATAGAGCTAGCAAGGAATCACTCCAGGAAGTGCGATACATTTTTTCGATTCTTTATATCTGGTAAATTTTTTATTACCTCAGATTTTAATAGTGGACACATGACATTATATCAAAATAAAGAATAATGCTGCAGTATTTTTGTGATAATATTATAAGGCGTGTAACTAGTATTTCTTGCAGTGAGCCCAGCTGAGGAGGTGATCCCCCACTACGCCCAGCAGCCGAGGGAGCGCGTGCGTCCTGACATGATCACGCTTGGCAGCCTTTCACTGCAGCAGGTCAGGGCTACAAAGAGGAATATCTGTGTCATCATCCCATATTCACCAGCACATCAGCCATGTCCATTATGCTGTGTATCACTGGCTTTGGCTAATGGACATTGTGTGTGTGTGTGTGTGTGTGTGTGTCTTGTCTGTGCATATGTGGGAGGGTTACGTACTCGCCGTACTAATTTTCTTTCTTGTTCCTTCCATATTTGGTCCTCTTTTTGTCCCCAGCCTACCTTTATAAAAGTTCGTCAGAGATGTTCTCAATCTCAGCTGAATGCAGTCATTTGAAATTGCTTTTTGCAGAACATGCATTCATTCAGGGTTGGATAACTCATTCATCGTCAGCTCACAATCTGTGCATGGATTTCAACTGCATAATCTCTGCTACGTACGATGTGCTCACACAATGAACTTATTTGAGGAGCGAGTTTTGTTCTCTCTTTGAACTTGTTGTTGTTGTTTTTTTTCTTTAATTTGCATATTTGTCTCTGAAAACAGCTGATTACTTCCATTCTTTACCCGTCTCATGATCTGTTCAGGAGAAATAGAGCGTGACTCGTTTTATTTTGTGGGGATCTCGCAAACCGGCGTTAGACTCTGAAGCTACTCAAACACAAGAACGCAGGGCTTCAATTGTGTTGGCAAATCTAGATTGCACAGAAACCCCAACATTAATGCATTTTCAGAGAATGCAGAACTTGTATCCATGTATTAGTCATAATCTCACTTGAAAAGAGAGTAGGAGCATCATATTATATGAATAGAAGGTACACATAATTGGAGGGGAGGGGGGGAATCACTTGGAAGCCACAGCAACAGTTGACTCATCCTCCCTGACTGGATAATAGTAGCGTCTACTGTGTACTGTATCAGTATTTGGATCAGTGTTATCTTACTCTGCTATAATATGTATGCGCTCTCCTTCTGTCTTCACACCCACCTCCCATTGAAAGCACATTATCCACCAGAGATTTCACATCTATTTTAAAAATAATAGTGTTTTTCTTCCTTCTCTATTCTGCCGCACAAAGCCTCTACAGGGCGAGACGCTGTCACTTAGCAGTGTCAATGCGTCTGAATGGGGAGCGTGAATGTGCTGACTGAATGTAAAAACCGGCAGAAATACTCATCAAACGCTACATGTCTTTAGGGCCTGGCTCGCTATCGATTGCCTGCAGATTGCATTACAGTTGCTCCTTGTGCTTAATTCTGCCATTATGGTGCAACTGCCCTGTTTTCACAAAGCGGCATCCAAAGAAAGCGCGCACGCGGGTTTACACCGGTTGTCAGCAGGCGGCGGCTCGGAAGGGGCCGCTGAGGAGGAGCGAGTGGGCAAAGAGAAAGAAGAGACTGATGGCCGTCTTCGCTGGGAGCGTTGAGGTAAAGGTCCGTGTGATGCACACGTAAGAATCCTTCGCTGTTTTGTTAGTTAGAGTCGTAAGTAATCCTGCAGGACATTGGGACTGCTGCTTAGGGAGGATTTCACAGGCTCAATCATTGTTATCCATTACCTCAGCTCACTTTTAAAGTATTTCATGACTATTAGTCATAAACATTTATAATAACTTACATTGTAATTTAGACTGATGTGGTGTTTACATGACATTCTCAATTAGCTGACAATGTTAATGACTGTTAACACATTACCAGCGTTTGTTAACATATCCGCTTTAATATTTAAAAGGCGCCCCAAACACAAAGGGACTGTGACGGGGCCGCGAGCGACGCCCCGCAGCCCCGACTCAACACGCCGCTGCCCCGGTAAGCCCGGACCGTTTGACATTTGACCCTCCGCACGTGCAATCGATGTCGCATAACTGTAAGCTTTGTAATCGTTTGCGATTCCACTGAGTGGCACGGAATCCGGATGTGCTCCGCGTGGCTCCTCCCGTTGATGGGCGTTGCATTGTGGGTAGCGTGGCTGGAGGTGACGGGAATCTGTCACTGTCGTTGGGCTGGCAGCCGCATCAATTCCTGGTGCCTCCACTTTAGTCGGAGATCACACGTCAAATCTGGCAGCGGGAGCGCCACGGGCCGGCAGCTTAGCATGTTTAACTTTTCAGCAATTATGGAGTACCGTGCTGGCTGACGTGATACCATCAGGAAACTACTGCGCACATCAGTAGCGCGTCTCGTGTTTGGTTATTTTACGGGTGGGTGGGAGTCGGACACCAGCCCCGTCGGATTACTGTGGTTTCGGAGTTTAGCGAGATGACCTCCTCTCGACAGCCTTGAACCCTGTAAATTCCTTCTTATATCAATGGTGGGTGGCTATTAGACATGGGAGACGTTCTGTGCATCACCTAGGGCTACATCTGCCTGAAATTTAATGAGAAATGATTTCACTATTTCTCTCTCCCTCCGCCTCTGAGAGGAGAAAAAAATAAATAAAAAAAATAAAGAGGAGAGACGGGAAGCTGACTTGTGGTTTTCGTAAGAAATGTGTAATTCATTTGTTTCCACTGTTTCTGATTTAATGGAGGTCGAGTAATTGCATTAGGAAGCACGTTGTGCCTTGTTGTGAACTGATGAAAGCACATGTAATACTTTTGATAGGCAAACAGCGAGATGGGAGAGAGGGAGAGAGAAGGGAAAGAAAGACCCCGCGCCTGCCTTTGATGCAGAGCATTTATTTGCCCGAATTATCCTTCCTTTTACAAGCATCTTATCCCCAGTCACAGGCAGGCCAGGGCCCCTGTGATATTGCTTTATTTTGAAGAATTAAGAGCGGCGGCGAGGACACAGAGCGAAGCAACCGCTTATTACATTACCACTGATAAGATTGAAAGGCCGAGAAAGGGAAGGAGGGAAAGAGAGAGAGAGAGAGAGAGAGAGAGAGGGGGGGGGGACCCAGCGGAAAGTGTTTTGTTGTGTTGTTATTAGATTGAGCCTCTGTTGGCTACAGAGTGGAAAAACAGAGAGTCCAAAATGCAGGTGGCTGTTAACAGCGTCAGCTCCTTGTGTTCTTGTGTGTGTAGCAGCACGAGCAGTGAAAACCCTTCCCTCAGAGCGCTGGCGGAAGGCCAAGAGGAAGCGACGGCCAAACTCGGGCGGATGACAGAGCTCCCAGAATCCTCTTCTTCTTCAGCATCGCGGCCCCCGTGGCCGGTAAGATCTGCTAGCCGCTCAGACCGCGGCGCGAGTTGCACACCTGGTTGCAAAGAGAATACACAAACAGATCGTGACACGCGCTTTGAGTCTCTTTACCGGAGGAGACACGAGGGCAGAATCGATCCCAGAGTTTTTTTCCAAATGAACTAAACGCAGAGTTGTTTCTTCAAAAACAGCCCGATGACGTAATTATGTAAAAATAACGTGATGAATGGAGAAATAATGCCGCATATTCTTCTACTTTGTCATTTTCCTCTATTCATTGCACTAATGGACACATGTGCACACACCAACACAAAGGCGCATTCACATGCGGCAACCGTACACAGATGCTAACTATTCAGCCACATTATTTTTATACAGTAGATACAACAAAGACTTTCTTTCTCTGCCTGCTTTGTGTGGATGCTGTCTGTGGTTTTAGGAATCTAAGTAGGAGGAAAAAAAGGAGTCTTTGGAGATGAAAAAAGGTTGAAGGCAGCGATAGGAGAGAACAGAGAAGCGGGGAAGAGAGAAGGAAGATGCGGCTTTAGTCGCAGCATCAGCCGCTGTGGGAGGAGTGCGCTGTTGTGTTGCATCTGGGGATGAGGCTGCCATGCCACCGTGCTGGCTTAAAGATGTAATGAATCTTCAGTCGGGGGCTTTCCTTCCAGGGTGACAACTGGCTTTGAGGAAGGTTGTAAATGCAGGGGAGATTGTGGTATAATTCCTCAGACTGGCGTTTGTGCCCCCCAGTCACCATTCGATTATCTCCCAAATTGCTGTGTTTCACTGAGATAAAGATTTTTTATGGCTTGCTGACTTGAAACAACCGGCACAGGCAGAATAGGGGGCAAAGAGGGGGAGAGAGAGAAAGAGAGAGAGGGAGAAAGCAATGGCCAAACCTGCCACGCATAGTAATTTCCTTTGGTAAATGACAAAATCTTTGTTTATATGACATTTCCCTAAAATTACTGCAGCGAGAAGAATCTGAAATATAAAATGTCACATTTGGCATGCAAAACTATGAAAATATATTTCTGTGCAAAATTCATGGAGGCATTTAATTTAGAACGTGTTTAATAACTAAGGCAGCCTGCATCAGTAATCCTGCCCGCAGGTCCCGAAAAGATTGTCATATTTATTCTCTCCTTTCTTCACCCCCCTCCTTCATTCCGAAGCCAAAAAATTTTAAGGGGTAAATGTTCATTGTTAATTAAGATTTACTAATTAAAATGAAAATAATTAACGAGAAAGCTTAATCTCTGAATATTAGCCCATACTTAGAAAGAAAGGAAGTTTTTGTATGTGGCATTTCCTGTCTCTATTAGGAGTGCATTCTGTGTGATCAGTCAATGTGTGGAAAGCCCTGAAAAGATATTTCAGCGAAAGGACGGCTGCTTGCCAGCAAAACCACAGAGGATCCCTCGCTGGAGCCTTTGATCTCATCTGTAGGAGTGCTGTAATGTTATGGCACTTTAGGCACAACTCAAGCTCGGGGCAAACAAACCACCTCTGATATGGAAAATTGGCTCACTTCACCTTTTACCTTCGCCTCTCTGTCTTGACTGTCTCTTACATCGTCTGTGCAAGCATGTGGGCCAGATAATCACAATACTCGGTAACATACGGAGCGAAGAAATGACAGCGGTGTGATGTTATTGTTTTTTTGTTTGCTTATTTTTGATTTTCTCTCATCTTCCTCCTCTTCCCCTTTCAGTCCTCGTGCATGCGTCTCTTTCCAGTGCGGGGACTCGGAGGCCTCCGTCACCTCCCCCCAAACGTGAGATGTGTGGGCTAAACCGCTTTGCCACCAATTATACTAATTTCACTTCTGCCTAAATTGTTTTTGTTGTTTTGGTATGCAAAGATGCGCACAGTGGGAAAGATTGAGGGGCATCACTGCGGGGCTCCGCACGCGCCTGCCCCCTCCACGCGGACTAGCAGAGCAATGTGCACCGCCAGCCGGCGTTAGCTTAGGATGTGAAGCGCGCGCTAAAGGAAAGGGGTAGTTTTAAGTTTTACAGGTGGAAACACAGCACGCAGTGTACCGTGAAGCCGTGTGAAACCGGTTGGACACGTGGCCTCGTGTTACTGAGTCATTGATTGGAATTGAGGGCTTTAATGGCCACACTCTCAAAAGTAGCCATAGGAAGTTGGTCAACACGTGAAATGCTCATTCAGATGGTTCGTTGGTGAACAAACGGATGGACAAATTGTCCAAGCAGCCAAGAAACGGACAAACCAACATTGCTTTGGACGTTTAAAAAACCATATAAATGTTGATGGAGGCCGGCTGGCTCTCTTTAAGCCAGATTGACTTTTCTTTCAGTGCTGTTCAACGGATGCCATCGGGGACAAAAGACGGAATATGTGTTTCTTTTGTTCTCCAATTATGTTTTCATGAAAAATAAATCAACAAAACTGTCTCACCAGCTTACCCTATTACTCATCCTAAGCCCTAAAAAAGAGGCACATGTCACCAAAACAAACAAGCAAACAAACAACAAGTGGGCTGATGTAGCCTGGAGGTTAGTGAGATGCGCGCGCTACCAGAAGGTTGGCGTCTCGATGCCATCATCTGAATGGGCAGTGCGGCCCGCAGGGGGGGGGGGGGGAAGAACGCCACTCTCGACCTTCGGTAACAAGGAATGCTGATGTGCCCTTGAAGCAAGGCACTTAGCCCCTAAATGGTTGAATGGAGTTCACCAGATGGAAGCCTGCAGCTGCACTGGCCATGTATTACATATGTGACTGCCTGTATGCAATCGGACAAAAACACTTCTGTCGATCAGCAAACGGATGAAGAAATAAATAGTTGTTTGTATATGGATCCATATCATTTAGGTCTCTTAGTGACTTGATTTACTGTGGCCGTGCTGTCTTATCTCCAGATAAACATCCTAATTTTCTGTTTGTTGTTTGGTGTTTTGGTGTGTTGCTGCATGGAACGGGGTCAGGATATTTTTCCCACTTCACTCCCAAACCAAATCAAACGCAATGTGTGTGACTCTCTTAGTGCTGCAGGAATGAGTCTTAATACCTTGAATTGAGTTGCATCTTTGCACTTTCAGGACTTTGCAATGGATTTTTTCTTAGATGCTTGAGGATTTGTGGTTAACGCCAGCTAAATAACCAGAATTTGTTCTAACTCATACAATATATTGGTGAATCCCTAATTAGCATATATTAAAAAGGCAACTTTTAAAAGCTGGCTAAATAAGACAATAAGATAAGCTTTTTTTTTGTCTTTTTTAGCTTTTTGCTTCTGACAATTGGTTCATATAACATATTTCTCGTCAATAATTCAAAATCCAAAAGGAGAAATCCTCTTGGTTCTTTATTGGGACCAGTGCAACCAACGCCTTGGTAGGCCCACAAAGTTATTAATGCCAGTAACACTCTATTCCCTACAAACATAAACTCAGTGGCCACTTTATTAGGTGTTACTTGTAGTACCTGTATTAGTTACACCTGGGCAGCATAGTAGAATCCAGTACAAGTGTTCTGCCATAAAGTTTCCTTTTACGATGCCTGTCGCTACGCTTTCATGGAAGTTAAATTAAATTATATATTTGGGGTTGAGGTAATATTTAGCCCCTCCCCCTCTCATGTTTTAAAGGGGAAAAAGCACCATATAATGCAGCTCAGTACGGCACCACTGCAACCTGCAACCTCAGTAATGAAAATAAAATGTTTTTGCAAAGCGGAGCAAAGATAAGACAGGAGAAAGAAGGTTCATTTACATCCTTCCCTACAAGAACAGAGATATGGGACGATATTTCTATTTTTAAAAACAGCTAATTATCAATGAGGAAGTAGTAAAAAACTATATTTACATACCGCTCCAAACCAGTAGTTACGCATGCAGATTAGAATAAATATCACATCTGCTGCCAGCATTTGAAACGGTGGTCAACATCGTTGCATCCGACTGCCAACGGAGCACGTTGACTAATTCCTTTTACCAGTAAGTGACACGCTCTGATGATTCAGTCTTTAATTACAAACAGAAAAACATACTTTAATCTTCATAGATGATCAAACATTGCAACCCATTACTCCAACTGTCCACAGTAATGAATTCAATTGATGAGAAAAAATATATACTGTATTATAACCTTTTGCTCTGCACTTTGTGTATCACAGGTGACCCGGAGCACAACGCTGCAGCCTGTGGAGGTGCGTGTGTGCTGCGTAAGAGCTGCCAGAGACAAGCTGCCGAGGGGCCTCTACACAGTCAGCGTGGCCCTCCACGGCCGCCTCGGGGGCCCGGCTCTGGCCTGGTGCAGCAAGAAAGAGCAGCAACAGCGGGCGCCGTCCGCCGAGCCGGTCGCGCATCGGGGGCGGTTCTGGGACACCGACCTGCACTTTAACCAGAGCCTGTTAATGGTGAGGACACTTTGGACAAAAGCAAAACTGGGAAAATGGTGATGATGCTGTAACAAATCAGAATACACATCAAAAATGGTAGCGATTCATTTTAGTTGGTGTGGCAAAAAGCTGAAACCACATTTATACACTGCAGATGTTTGGTTTCAGACAGCATGGACATTTAGAATTAAGGTTAGGGTTAGTGTGTTTTTATTCAACAAGCAAAGGACAGAAACAAGCTGTGATTTGGGACTGTGCATTTTATTTAATAAGAATCCCTTAATACATCTGATGAGGGGTGGAAGTCTCTTTGAATATTATTTTTTTCAGCAAAATATTTGAATAAATATTTAAAAAATCTGTTATCTGAAAGCAATTTTGACATTAAGGCAACCTGAATTAAATCACGCTAAATTTTAATGACATGGATGGAGCCTTTGATGTGAAATTCCATGGAATATTTTTGTAAAACACAATCTTAAAAACCAACAGTCCCCTCAGATAAAAGCAAAGAATAGAACACGCTTTGCTAATATGACAGAACTGGCCAGAGTGCGTTTTTTTATTTTATTTTGAATTGGCCACAGTAATTCTAAATTCCTCTTTCTGTTTCGCTTGGTTTCATCAGTTGCAGTGAAGATTGAAAGGGTTATGAGAAGTTATATTGCTGTAAAAGACGGCATATGAAAATATGCCACATGCAGCCTCTGGGTTTTTCTCCGGGGATCTCCGTATGAATAAAACAACAACTTTTCAAACATGACATTTAATCCATGTAAATCAAACCCAGGATTAATTATTCATTTATATCAGGAAGTAATGTTTTATTGGAATGAAAATGTACAAATGTAGTAAAAGATTTAGCTCACTTTCTCTACGTATTTGAGCGTCTGTAAAACAGTTGTGGGGGATAAAAGAAGTAATGGAAAAGTTGGGCGGTATTGACTAAAATTAGTATTCAAAATATCACAACTTCCATTTCCAATATATGGTCCAAGAATAAACATGTTTTCACAGTTGGTTCCTGTGATGAAACAACACAGCAGATTACATACCAAAATCAATGCACGTTGCACCACCACCTTCTTATGAGGAAAAACATCATCTATAGAGGCTGCGCTAAATTTAAAAACCTACATATATATTTTGAATGCTTGATATTGACCAGTGGATTAGAAATCCCTGTTGACGTTTATTCGTCAATGGTGTGTGCACAGATACACAAGAGAAACCTTAAAACAGAAGCCACTAAATCCAGTGCCCCCCCCCCGATTCCACATAGTTTTGTACAGGCTCAGAAAGGGCTTCTTCAGTCTTCTGATGGCAACTCTAAAGGCCTTAGCTGGAGCATTTAGCGCATGTGGACACTGCCAATGTGCAAGTGGGCGTATTCACTGAGCGAGAGCATCCTGATAATATTGTCTGCAGCTCCCATCAAACATAAAAGGACGGGGTAAAAACTGGCATGAACTGAATGCGGACCTGGGATCTGATTCAGAGGTAAAAAAAAAGGTTTAAGTACGGCGCGCTAAATGCCTCGTGTCACTCTTCCTTACCTCCTCTCCTACACCCAAACCTGTTGTTGTTGTTGTTGTTGTCCCCATTGATAGTCTCAGACAAATCTGATCCACGTTTCCAGAACTATCAGGATTGGCCTGGATGTTTTCTCTCTCTTCCTCCCTCCTCTTGCCCACACTGTAGCCTGCGATTGTAGGAGTGCTCGCAGTGCCTTCTAAGAGGAAATGAGGAATTAGTGATGGTAAGAGGAAGCCAGGAGCTTATTTTCCTTCCCTCCCTCTCTGTCCTTCTTTCTTTTTTTTCAATCACCCTTTGCTTTGTGCGTCTGGGTTTGGATTTAGACAGAAACAGTGCAGTTCAGTTGGAGATGTCTTGGATTTGCTGGCAAGTGGGAGCACACAAGAGGAGTCGGGCCCACGGTCTTTGTGCACCGAATGGGAATATATGCATACGATTTTACATGTTATGTTAAAGAGGAAGAAAACTGAGGAAGAAAATGTAATTTAATGGTCAGAGGAAGTCTTTTGGGAGATATTTTAAATATAACTATTTTTTTTATTTTTTATTTTTAATTAAAATATTTCATCGTATGCTGTGGTTATGCAATAAGGAGGTTTAGTGTCGGACAAATAACTCATTTGTCCTGCTCAATAATACTATCCTCCTTTCTTTTGTGAACAAACATACTAGCTTTCTCCTAATAGGACAAACACAATTTTGTTTTCGATTAAACAAAATACTTGATGGTTTTTAGCAGCTCCCCTGGCTAACACAGGAAGTGAGAAAACCAGTGAAGCAAATCATTCAGTCTCACAAGCGTCACATTAACACTCCCCATATGCAAACAACTGCATGTCACACTCACACATGCACACAAATAACTAGTTATGCGGGTCATATTTCTTACAACAAATGAATCATATAAAATATACTCAATATCCATAATCCGTGATATTATGCCATAAATTTGTGTCCTGAGTCAGACACTACGACCCATCATCTCACAGGTGCCGACCAAAAGCAGATTATCAGCCGGGTGGGAGGGACACATGATTTATGTCTTAAAACAAGTCCTGTGCGTTTTCCCATTACAACTAATAAAAGGGATAAAATATTTCCACCCAGTGATGGATGAAGTGGCCCACACCTCACTGTCAGTTCATTTTTTAAACAAACCCACCATTCTGCGGGTAAATAAGAATGTTTGCCATTGACTGCTAACCGCTGAGGCTTTTTGCCTAATGCAAGATACCGTTAACGTCATCAGTTTGATTGATGGATCTGTCTGCTCATACAACTCAACGGTAATGTCAATTCCTCCCCCCTGCCCCACCCTGTGTTTGATCCTTTTCTTATCATTCAGACATCTCCTTTTCAGGCTATTTACTAAGTTGGACGCTGTAAGAATGGCAGTTAAGAGCAACCGGAAAACAAAATTAAATGAGGATTCAAGTCTAGGATGTAGATTAATTACCTCCCCGAGGGCTCCTGTCCTGTTTGTTACCGTTCATGTGTCTGTTTGTAACTTGTCCTCCTGGTTGTGAGTCCATGCCTACCTAGTACTGTGGTACATACGCTGGCCGACTAGACTCCGTGTGTGTGTGTGTGCAGCTCCTACCTGCGGCCTGTGAGCTCGTCCCCTCCATGGTCCTGGTCTTCCAACTGATCTTGCTCCCGGGAGGCAGCAGCCACGTCGGCTCCGTGCTGGCTTGGGGGGCTTTCCCCGTCTGCGGGCCGAGCCTCGGCCTCGTCCAGGGCAGGTGCGGTAATGGCGAATCCGTTTGTGTTTTGAAGAATACACGTGCATGATTATTTAGGTCACTAATCTGCTGAAACATCAGATGGTGTGAAATGATATTATAGTAATTTTTTCAGTCCTCGCCCTTCCTACATATTGTTTCTGTGTCGTTGTTCCAGGTTCAAAACCCCTCTGCTCAGGGGGGAGCCGAGCACACAACTGGACCAGTTTAGAAAGATGGAAGCCATCATCTCCTCTGATCTGGACCACTGGCTGTGCAACCTGTACTTTCAGGTGTGTGTGTTTGCATGTCTGTATCTGTGTGTGTGTGTGTGTGTGTGTGTGTGTGTGTGTGCAATAAGGAAACACGCGCATGCATCTGTTGTTTTTGTTCATGTCATATACATAATTGTGTGCAGGTATGAGTGATTGTGGGTCATGTGTTTATGTATGTGCCCCCCCTGCCTGTGACCGTCCCCTATAATTTGTGAGGCAGGTTGGTGGATCTGGGTAGATGAGGGTTGGATTTTGGGGTTTTCTATGATAAAAGCAACTGGAAAATGGCCCCAGAGAGAAAACAAGAACCACATCTTTACCCAGCAATTCCGGATGCATTTGAGCTGATGCATTGATTAGATTAGTAAACATCTTAATTGAATTAAAAGCCAGAACAAAGCTCTCTGGCTGGGGTCGGTCTCTTTAATCGTCCCTGCGACTGTGACATGTTGTTTGTATTACTGCACTATCATCACTGCATTCATTTCCAAGGGATGAAAATAGGAGGTATTCTTCGTGCATCTTTGCAATAGAATGGGCAATATTTATACCAGGCACATTTATGGTCTTAATTGAATAATTTTATGGCATTATGTCCCGGTATGATAAACGCCAATAGTTAGCTACGTCTACAGTTCGAGGTCAAACACCTGCAGGGTAATTACACACACACAAGATGGTGATTCATTGGAATGCTATGAACATAACTGTTGATGACATTAACTTAAAACGGTTATAGTGATGTTCATTGCACACTAAAACCTCGAACTGTTTGTAATCTTTCAGGTAAAGAGGCTCCCTTCCCAAACCTATGGGGGACCGGAGCGCCGCATCACCCTTTCCATACCTTCACCTTACCCCCCAGTCACGTCCCAAACGGAGGTCCAACCCGCTCTAACCCAGCCACAGTTATGCCCTCGGGAGCAGGGGCAGGCGAACCCCCCGGGGTGCATTCTCACCGGGGGGTCTCCTCTCCACCTGTCAGCCGATTCCGCTTGCTCTTCCTCATCTTTGCCAGGTAGGGTTCCTATGATAAACCCCCCGCCCCCTCCCCCCTGACAATGCCACAGTGGGGATGAAATGTCACCCTAATGTCACCAGCGCTGGGGCGAGGAGAGTGGCAAGCCTCACTCACAGCTCGGGTTTGCTCCAGGGTGGGGTCGGGTATACAGACACTGGGCCAAGTTTGACAGATGGGAGGTAAATCAAACAAAGGTTGTCTTCTTGTCAAAAAGAGATTAGTGAGCGTCAAGGCAAATGTTTGAGCAGCATGCACAACACTGATTTCTGAGACTTCAAACATATTCCAATAAAGCAGTTTTATAATGTAACCACCAGCTTAAATAAGTAAGCGGCAGGATAAAAGAGTATATAGACCAATGAAATAACAGCATGATGAAGTGGGTTTTGAATAAATAAATAAACATCAGGTTCCACGGTTATAAAAACTCAATGAGCGGTTGATACTTGTACCACTTTTGAACTTTTCTTAGCCATTATATGTGGGATGAGTACAGAAATTTGTCACTGAGTATTACATGTATACAGTTTGTATCTATTTATTGTCTAACTAAGCTAAACTAAACAAAGAACCTGGTAGACCCATGTTGTTTCATTACTTTGTGTTCACGTCAATTACTTATCTGGCTTTAACAAATTACGTTTTGAAAAGATCAATGCAAAATATTCTAATCTCTAAATGCCATTATCCATCGTGAAAATGATTTCAGATGCAGTTGAACCGTTGGATCGGTGGTCAGTTTTGCCTCTCAGTAAGAATGTGCTTTCTGTGCTCCTCAGGGTGCTGTCGATTCTGCAGATATGCAGCTCAGGATTTATTTGAGACTTACATTCCCAGGTGTGAATATGATTATGTCTCCCTGTTCATGTGATGGAGCTATTTTGCTTTTCTTTGCACACGTCCATCAGATCCACCGACGCACGGGTCCGATGTGGTTGCCCCGCTTATCTGGCGTTGTAGGCAAGGTCACACCACAATTGCAACCACATCTAGAGGTGACTAACGACCTCCGTTAATAGCAGCGAGAGTCCACTTCCTCATTTTCAAAAAACAAACTATTCTCGTTTCCCACCTAGTAAGTAATCCAACATCCTGGCCTTTGCCACAAATCAAATCCAGGCTCCCTTGGTATTGATCTACTACAAAGGCAACTGGCTAGCCTCTTTTGTTATTAATACATCCCCCCTTTTCCTTTTCTTTCTTTTTTTTTTTGCACGCACAGCTCATCTTTATTTAACAGTTCTCAAAAGTTTCTGGGGTGCTCTGCTTTAAACATCACACAGGCTTTTTAATTACAAATGAGTTGTGACAGGTCTGCTGGGTAGCACCCTGGCCCATTTTAAACGTGATGCCGGCTGACAGCTCGGCAGTGTTCTCCCAGCATTGAAACATGTGGAAGAAATTGGTCTTTTACATTTCACAGCTTGTCGCTTCCTCCGCCTACTGACCTGTGACCCCCCACAGAGATCCTAACGCCCACAAGGGAAGTGTCCCCAACCAACCGACTGCCTGTCTAGAAAGAGAGAGAGAGGGACGGACGGACGCACTCACTCACCATGAGAGATTTATGTTCTGCCACACGAGGCAAAAGGTACCAGGTCTCTTCACCAAAACGTGGCTGCGTACTTTGGCTCACACACACACAGACACACACACACACATTCTGGCAAGCTGGGAAGTGAACCCGATCCGCGAGTGAAATAACGGATCAAAAGGTGTCCTGCACAACACCTCGTCCACGCCGAACCCTAAGCCGACCTGACGTTTGCGCCTCGTTTGCATACAGATCTGTTCATTCTGCATTACCTCTGGAGCGAATTACGGCCTTCAGATGGGGGAGATTACGTCAAGGTTGAAGAGAGCGATCGGACAACCTCGACCTCACCCGAAAAAAAAAAAAATGGAAATCCAATTCAGCGAGGAGAAGAAGAACAAATTACCTCCTTCCTCGGCCCCTCGTCAAGTCTGGGGGTTTCAGACATTTCCTTCCCCTATCGCGCCTCTCCGTGTCTGACGTGCCGTGTGGCGATCGCTTCCTCCGCTCGCGTGACGCACGGATTTTCCTCATTACCCGTTTGTCTCAGAATCGGGACAAGTATTCGGAGACCTCTTGTCACTGCGAAAATGTACACACAGCAGAGCTTGACAGTGAAACTGGAAGTTTATTTTCCTGAGGCCTTCAGTTAATTAATCCCAGTTGAAAAAGCAGCGTGCGGGTGAGGTGTCTATTACAGAAACAAACCTGACATCCCAATCCAGGGTTTTTGAAAAACTGACAGAGAAGAAATCTGAAGATGACATTTCTGCTTTAGTGCTGTTGTGTTGGATAATAATTATCCTGCTATTCCTCAGTAGACTTGAAGCATGATGGAGTGTATTTGGTGTTTTACGTAGCAATAAACCAGAGGCACAGAGGGTCAAGTGACCTTTCACACTAGCTCAACGATCCAGTTACTTTGAGTTTGTTTGAACCCAATTAGATTAGCTTCTGGTTTCACGACTGCTTTTAGTGAGTCACTCTGAGCACGCCGAGGATTCTGCCATAACTGCAACTCTGCAACTTCTCCCCGCCTCATTCTGGATACGCCGATCTCCAGGCCGGTCCCTCCGATCAGAGTTTAAAACCACAGCGTGACGTCGCAATGTCTCAATCAGCCGCACTCTGCATCCCGACGATCAAGTTACTCATGTAGACCCTCACGGTGGGTGCGGTAAACAAACGTAAAGGATTACACGTGGGGGAGCCGTGTGGGACAAACACACCCACAGGTGACTTCTTCAGTGTCTTCTTGCCTCAAAAACACACTGAAAACATGCAGCTGAACATGGTCAAGGCAGGTTTGACTAGAGCAAATGACCTCACCAGTGAGAGAAAACCAGTCTTGTTCCTGTACATGAAGGTATTTATATAGAGCGTCTGTTATTGCCATTAAGATGCTGCTGTATGAAGCGACACAGAGATCTCGCCGTATCATAGCAACCTCACCCACCACGAGATCCGGACGTGGACTCGGGGGTGATCCGTGAGTCGCTGACCTCTGATCCCGCTCTGGCTTTGGACCAGTCAACAGGCAATTACTGGCCCAGGTGAGAAGCAGCATCCCGGCCTGGTTGCTTCTCACAACGGTAGCGCGGCGCCGAGGTCTCGACAGTTTTACGGCACCTCAGGCTTTTCTCCTCCGCCGGCCTGCTTTTTTGTGTGCGAGCGAGAGAGAACACGAGGTGTGTTGAGTTATGCAGTTGTGAGGTACACTCATTTGTATTTCCACCCTGGAAAATGTTTTGTGCATGCATGCAAGTGTCTACATTTTAATATCTTTGTTTGTACGCCTTCCTGTGTGTGGGTGAGTCAATGCAGTGGACTGGATGAGTGTGTGTGTGTGTGTCTGCTGGTCTTAACACAGCTCAGAGCACGGGGGATAACAAGGAGTTTGTTGTTGGCCTTGAGTGCCCGAAGAGGCTGGAGTTGTGGCAGCTCCAGCACTCCCGAGTTCACAGACGTAGCCCTCAGCTGTCGGAGCTGTCGATTCTGCCTCCGCGCTCGCTGTGTTTTCCACGGCGTCTGCGCACCAGCAAGTGGGGCCTTGTGTGATGAGTGTGTGCGATTGTGCAGTCAAAGAAAGCATCCTTACCCACCTCAGTCCGAATTTGTGAGTCGAGGCTCGCTGTTGCTGTTGTTGGTGTTGGATTGTGATGTGTGTGTACGTGTGGATGGTTTCGTTCCGCAACACACACATGCTTATTAAAATGTATTATTTTCTCGTACACATTACCAATGAACTGCTACAACAATGAGCTGATCTAGATTTACTTTAGGTTCCCATATTATGGATGTTTGATTGAAACGGTGTGTGATAATTCCTTGTTGGCACTCATTACAGTGTGTAGAAATATTCTTTCTACGCATTAAGATATAATGGCAACGAGTTCAAAAAAAATTTGACCGAGAGATTATTGGAAACAGTTTACAGTAATGTAATGTCATGGCGATGTAGAAATGTGTATTAGTGTATCCCTTGACTAGAACAAATATAACCTTATTACCTTGTAACTGTAGGCACTCCACATGTTTACCATCAAAGCAGTGGTAATTAAAAACTACATCTGTGTTAGGATGAAATCTGATTTCAGACTGGCTTATAAATAGCAGTGAGCAGACTCTTCCTGCCATTTAAGCTGTCAGAAGGATTTCTGATGTGTCGCATTTATTTAAATTATTGCCACTGATATATTTAATCCCGCAGCAAGAAAACAATCTATCATTGCTAGGTTTCCATATGTATCATATAGATGTGACTGGTTTAAAGGGGTAAAAAAAGTTTCACATAGTGAGATTTTTACATGTATCAAGCTAAGGTTTACTTAATTACAACCTCCAGGCAATGCGGGAACCCTTTTTTAAATTCTCTGAATGTTAATATGCTAAATAATGCAGATCTCCAACTCTTCAAGCATGAGACACACATCTGGCGGCTTACCATTTAAATTACAGCAGGAAAAAAAAAAAAAAGAAGTTAGACGGATCGAGGGAGGAGGGAAAGAAGAGGGTGAAAAAAATACTTTAAAAGTAATTTGCTAAAGAAGAGAAGGTAAGATGAACCAAAATGAATTTCTTTTTTGCTTTTTCATCATTTCTAATTGCATAGATTAGAGCGTTGAGGCTGAGAAGGTTCAGCTCTCAGAGACGATGCAACAGTCCTACTTCTCTGTTTAAAGAGTCAAGTCACCAGAACACTAAAACACCTGAATGTCCACTAAGCCGAAATCAGTCACATAGCTCAGAAATACTAGCAGGAGGCCTGTTCTTGGTTTCACTATGGACACATTTTAAAAACAAGTTATTATTTCTATTTTTATTATTTTCCTGGAAATAATACAAATAACCTGGATTTCTTTACCATTTTGAATTATGTTTTTGTAATGTACCGTAAAAACATATTATTCGGTGTAGTAAATTATATGTATTATTCAGAATGCTTTCATTGTCGATTCCGATTTGACTGTTGAATATCTTGTCTTCAGTTCAAGTGTATACTCGTAATCATTTGGATTTCGTAATATAAATACCACTCAGCCACCCTTGATCCTCATTATGATTACCAGATGTGAATTGCAAAAGAAAACAAACATGAACCTTTCATCCTTTTTCACACGGCACATTATTTCTTTCTTTTTTTGCGGGGGGGATGCAGGGAAGAATTCCTCCTCAGGAGCCAATTCTGGAGACAGGAGAGAGAAGAGTGATCCATGTGGGGAGAAAGCAGAGGGCGGGACTCACTACAAGGTAACAAGGGAAAGTGTTCCCTCCCCTGCATTGATCACCCTCTCTCCGCTTTCCCCTTCCCGCTCTGCACCCCTACACACACACACACACACACACACACACACACACACACACCTCCCCAGCTTATTATCTGAGATTTGTCAAAATACATTTCACACTAACAGGTATTTTTCAACCTTCAAAGACAGTTTTGATCTGCTTGACGAGCCAAAGCAGCTCAAATTCTGTGAAATCAGCAACGCCAACCAGGCCTCTCTTTTCTTTTTCTTTTTCATTCTTGTCTCCAAACCGCTCTAAACACGCCTCTTTTTGTGCTGCAGAGGACTTAAGCTAAATTAATCAAAGCCTGCATGTTACCTGCCATACTTTGAAGTGGTGATTGCAAAATGACCCCGTGTGCTGATCTGGCTTCACCGGAACGGCCCTCCATCTCATCCGCGCCCTTTTGTTGTTGTGATGTTATTGTGGAGGCAGTGAGGAGCATATGAACAGTGCGTACACATCCTTCCCTGCCGCCTGAGCCTCTATCCCTCCGAGTCTTTATTCTTACTAACTTCCCTCCACTGAAATACAAAAGGCTCTCTAGACCGCCATTAATCAGCGATGACCGGTTAAATAAATTAGTTTGTTGATATGAGGTTTTATTTCTCCGTGAGCCTCTGTAGACCGTGTTGTTTTTTTCTCCTTCTCCTCTTGGCCTTTTAAAACCTCGGCAAACTCTGTCAAATGTCGCGGTGTGGAACCCAGTTGTCTAATGATTAAGTGGAGTGATCTCCAACCTGCACCAGCCCGGGAGCGCAGGGGATCAGATTTCAACCCTTCAACCTGCAGTGCACGGCTAATTAAAATGAATTTTCTCCAGGCGACCACTTTGCCCACAGGGCAGGAATCCAGCTATATACGGAATCTGCTCTTAAGGTATTGCATTAAATTTATTGTGCGGAGACACTGGAGAACATTGTGGTTTATATATCTCCTGCATTTCGTTTCCGCGTGCTTTCTTTGCCGCTCCTCTCCACCTTTTTATTGTGATCATCACTCTGGAATCCAAGCTTGCTTTGGCAAAGATTGCCCTATGAAAACGGATGGAGCTTTTATGGGGCCCTGCCCATTTACTACTTCCTGGGCCCTGTTCATCTCGGAGAGAGAGAGAGAAAGAGAAAGACGAAGAAATGGAGAGAGGGCAGAAGAGAGAGCGAGGTTGCTTATTCCAACTGTGGTTCTCATTAACATCAGCGAGTATTTCACAACTTCCAGCAGAAAGGCACTAAGCCCACCCAAGGGCAGCCCAGGCAGGGCTGACAGGGCCGGGCAAAGCAAGCCGTTAACATGTTGGCGGCTCAACAAATAATATCTGCTCCCAAGTACCTTGGTGAAATATTTAAAACCCCTTACTTCCCGAACTCCATTCCACTGTGTTTATGACGATGAAGGTAAATGACTTGCGTGGAAAAAAGAAAATCCGGTGCCAGCTGCTCAGACATGACATATTTAACGCCGCCGTACACCCGTTCTCCCAGACGGACTCAACGTGAGTGATGGGGGTGCCGTAACGCGATTTCGCCGTCGTTCAGCGTCTCGTGTCAATCGAGGCGGGGCTGAGACGTGGGAGAGGCTTCCAAAGCGCCGCCGCACACTGTCACTGTCACCGTCTGCATCCCCCGAGATAAATTCAGAGGCCTGTTTCCTGCTTTGATTACAAATGACATCCGCATGCGGTTCTCTCACCCTCCCCACCCCACCTCCCTCGATTTCTGCTCCTCACAGAAGAAGCCAATCAAGAAGACAAATAGCCGCGGCCCCAGCGTGAGCGGCGGCGGCGGCAGCGCACCGCATCTGCAGGCAGAAAAACAGAAGATGCAGCCTTCCACGGAGAACCTCTCCAAGGAGGAGATGGAGGAGTTTACATTCTCCCTGCAGTAAGTCGCACCGCTCAGTAACACCGAGCACGGCATCAAGCAGACAGATGCTGACAGCAGAATGTGCTTACAACACCTCATGTACACATACTATATTGTGAGAGCAGCTGTGTCATCCTGTATTTATTTACTTTATTCTTGCCAAGCAAAACTGTCACTTGTCTTGTCATCATACCTCAACCTCTCCACATCGGAATTAACACGGACTCAAACAACAAAAAAAGGAATGTTGTTATATGAGCAAATTTCATTTTGGAATTTTACGGATTTTGAAAACCAAAAGAAATCTGTCTCATTGCCACTGACTTGGTTTGTAGCATGTATTACAAACCAAACCTGCTACATCACTACGTGGTTTATTTCTTTCCTCTGAAACAAAGGAAGTTTGGGACAATGTGTTTTTCCTTTTTGCCATAGCTTACAGCATTTGATTTAATGAGAAAAAAGACGGGAATGCATTAAATGTAGAAAAGAAAAGCAGTTCAAACACCTCGACCAAACATGTCAGAACCAACATGCTGCACCAACGCAAATAAAGCATCAAAATAGGCTAAAAGCAAAATTGCTTATTTCAACAGAAAAGTCACAGGTATTTGTTTTTATTTGAACGTCAACTAAATTAAGGGGAGGGGATTACTGCACACACTACCGCACGGGGGGGGGGGTGGAGGGAGGGAGGGGGGGAGAAGGAAAGCGAGCCTCTCCCTGGAGATTTAAAAGTACCCATGTTTCCTCATTTCTGGGAGTTGGTAATTTATAGCTGCTGGTCACATATTAAACAAGATCAGAGACTACTCCCTGACATCTTCTGAACATACCGGGGGAATTCAAATGATTACCAGCGTATCCTGCCAACAAATGACGACACAGGGACTATCTTGAGGGAGAGCGAATACAAAACGAACACAGAAAACCCAAGCAGGCTGCGCACAAAGGGACACAATTAAATGGTTTTCACGATTATTCATAGTGCCACTGTTTTTTTTTTTTTTACCTCTGAGCAGTCGCCGGGCTCGGCGAGATGAGACGTTTGCGTCAGTTATAGGTACGGATGGTATTGAGTCGGAGCCCCGGCGGTTCCCTGGTGCCCCGTGAAGGTGCAGCCTGCTATTGATTTTATCTTTACAAGCGCACACGTTACGGTATCTCTGAGCTGAGGGCTGCGGGTTTTTTTTTTTTTTTTGCCCTCGCCTCGTCACAACAATAGAAAGATACGGTGCCAGTTTGGGCTTTCACAGGGAAGTTAAAGACACTGCAGTGTCAAAGTCACACCCTCACCCGGCTCTCCCACTGTGCTGTGTTTGACTTCTTCTGGGATTCTCCACATCACCTGAGGACTGACTGAGGCGCAGACCAAAGGAACGGTTCACTGTTTTTTTATTTTTTTATTTTATTTGCCGTAATGATGTCATCTGCATCTCCTCTGGCACTGCTACGTTTGTATCTGCGCACGTGTGTGTGTTTTATATGCATCTGTGCACGTGGGTGCGCGTGTGTTTGTGTGCACGTCGTCTCTTGACTGTGTGCGTATGCAGCGTGTGAGCGCAGGAATGTCTGCGTGTGCATGTGTTTCATGTGGAATGGGGAAGATTGAGGGATATTACTGCCATCTATTGAGCCACAAGAGATTGAGCTCATCGACATGCTCACACGGCGTCACGGCACAAATGGGCAGATCGGATGCTCATGCAATATTAAGCAAGCGCTTTGTGACACTGAGTTTTTGGATAGTCTGAGAATCAGACAAAATATTTAACGCAACGCATCCAGAAGGTCACAGTCCGGATCACTTTGTTCACCAAGTGGAATACATGTTGTGCATCATGGCCTAACCCGCCCATAATCACTGCATGAACATTGAATTCATTAAAGTTCAAGAATGCAACTTAGCCGTCCGAAAAAGAAAAAATATATATATATTGTTTGGCAACTAACCGACTGATTATAAAGTCAGTCATGTTATATTAATGTTCATGTTTCATAGATGCCTTTTTTCCTGGTTCTAGATTACATTTTTTTATCCATAATTTATATTTTCAGCTAAATCTAATTGATAGTTTTGGTTTCGGTGGGGCACCTTCAGCTTCTCTTTGCATTTTTTTAAAATTAAAAATCCTGGTTGAAGCACATAAATACCCCCCACACCAAATAATAAGCGTGAACCATACATTACAATTTCAAAGACAAACCAACAGACCTTCCACTGCAGGTAAAGACAATGGAAGTCGATTGTGGGCAAATTAAAAACAGAAACTATGAAAACAAGTCAGGAATGATTTGTCCTCTGCTGCTATCTGTTTGAACGTGCATTAAAGAATCCTGCCGCCCTTCCATCCTTTTTGATGTCAAACAAATGTAATCTTAACCACCTTTATTCTCACCGAATAGCACGGAGCAAAATCAAAGCACCTGATTCAATACAGCTGGTGTAATTCGATAGGGCCAATTTAATGCTCATGGACGGCGCGGCAACAACTTCTCAAAGAGGTAAACACACCATGACTAAATGAATTGCACACCTTGGGGTACTTTAGCAACATTTTTCATTCTTTAAACTAATTTTAACCGACCCAAACAATCCCTTATCACTTGTTGTTTTTAAGTAAAAGTATTGCTCCTATTAGTCAATACAAAGTTTGATATAGATTGCATCCCTGATTATTGCCAATTAGCTTTGTGTCTCAACAATGTCACCAACCTATTTTTTTTTCTTTCTCTGGTTTTGAGGAGAGAAACCTGTTTTAATCAAAGTCATTCTCGCACAGCAATTAGATCTAATTAGTCCAATTATCAAGGTTCTAATTACATTGAAATATACCCCCCAAATCTCATATCAATTATAGTATGTGTGACTTGTCCTGATCAGGAGACATGAAGAGAGAAAGTGTAGTAAAGAGTAAAGACAAGGCTGGATGCGACGTAGAATAAAAAAAAGAGCATCCACATCCTCCGGAGGCCAAATGACTGCAGAACTAGATCCATCTGTCCCAAAAGCTTTTATTCCAAAAGACTGCAGCCATTTGGGGATAAATGTCACTTAAACTTTATTCATTTGTTCCATTCATATTCTACCATTTTATTACAGTGATGTTATGATTAGTTACATCCCAATGAGGAGTCAAAATAAATACAGTTTTAGCATTTGGCTTGAGAGCACTCAAACACCATTGTTATATTAGGATTTAAAGCCGCAATGGGGATTAAGGCCGAAATAATTATCCCCTGCATTCAGAACCGGACATTTGGTAGCACAGTCAATCACAGGCCCACGTGTGGAAAGCGACAGCACACAATTAAAACACACACACACCCACACAGACCTGCACAGTATGTCACTATAGCGGTGCAGTACGGCGCTGTAGATGCACCGGCAAAACACGCACGCACTTGCACAGCCTGTTCTTGCTGTGTAGTCAGAGGGAACACACTGACCTAATTTCCCCCCAGTTAGCTCGCCTCGTTGGGGACCAACAATCCTCTCTCCGCCCGTTTCCCCCGACCGAGCCTATCGGAGCGCTCAGTCACCGAGTGTCTCTGTCGCTATCTTCCCGCGCCCTCCATCTGTTTGAGTCTGCACACCGTGCATGCTCCAGTGTAAGGTTCGCAGCGAGGTCTGCGGTTATATTGTTCACGGCTGCTCAGCTCGGCGCTATCGTGCGCGGAGGACGTTGATAACGTGCGCCCTGCGGTGTCCCTCCTTTTTCTAAAGAGGAGCCGTTTTACCACGGTGGCGGGAGAGCGAGAGCGGCCTCCAGGAACAGACAGAGCAAGAGAGAAAAAAGAAAAAAAAACACCTGAAACAACAGCTAGTTCCAGGCTGTCAATCTGGCTGCATACTGCAGCTTCAAATCACAACTCAGTGCAAGGGTCAATCAATTCTGATGTAATGCTGGTAGGAGAGGTGGGTGGAGACGGCAGTGCGTTTCACCCCTGGCTCTCCGAGGCTTTCCTGTGCTGAAGGGGGCAGGAGTGTGTCTGTGCGTGCGCGCGTGCGTGCATGTGTGAAAGGAGAAGGCCCCTGGCTACCGCGGCCCGAGTGCACATGTTAGGGTTTTCTGCAGCCAGACGCGCCCTGGGTCACTCCGGATTTCACAGACACACACACACACTTACACAACCTACGTGTTGCTTCCTTTATGGAAATCACAACTGTCAGCTCTACGACAGGCTGGTGTTGCGATACGATTGGATAATCTGCTGTGATGTGGCCGTCAGTCAGAGCGGACTCCAGTCCCATTGGTGGTCTGGGTCAAATGCATGCCTTTCCCACAGACATGTAGGAGAAAGTGTGTGTGTGTGTGTGTGTGTGTGTGTGTGTGTGTGTGTGTGTGTGCGTGTGTGGCGGGGGAAGACGGGAGGCGGGGGGGAGGATTTGAGTGATTACTTGCGATTTGTGCATGATTGTGTGTGAAAGAGAAAGAGTGGTAGACCAGAAGTGACACTTCCCTCACGCTCTTCTTTTTCATCTGTAATCACTGGTGCCCGAGTCTGACATGAGCATCTAAAAAAGGTTTCAAAAGTCAACAAACAACTCCCGAAGATCTTAAAAGTGGATTTGTGCACGCTAATCACATGTAAGCTAATGCACTGTAGCACAAACATGCGCCAGTGCACTCGGCCCTGTGCAAATAAATATGAACTTTTAGAAATACATCGCTGACTGGCAGCTCTAATAATAAAGCTGACAAGCCGTAGATGTCGATGTAATCGGAATTTGATTCCGATATTTGTGTGTATATGAGCTTGATATCATCAGCAACTACGTTAGCCGATGCCAGTTTAGAACCAGAGCACACTGAACTGAAATTTGTACTGACACCACATAGTTTTCACGTGTCACGCACTTTATTTGTTGTGGGGCACACATGTATGACGTAAGAGTGAGTCTGTTAAAAGCACGCTGCCCGGCACAGACACGTGGCCCATTTATGGTGTTTTGCCAGCCATTAGGTTTAAGAGCCCATTTCATCCTGCATAGACATTCCTCTCTGATGATCGGTGGCATTTCATGCCTTTGCAAGGAAAAACTTTCTTTTTTGTCCATCAACCACTTAATTGCTCCGTCCATACACACATATGAACACATGGTTAGTTTCCCGCCTCTAATTTACGCCGTCTTTGCGTTGTCATCCTCTCCTCATTCTCTCTCCGGTGACAACGTCCTGCAGTCACGAGGCAAGGTCAGAGAGGTGAAAGCCGTTTAAATACCGATGCGACTCTCTGGAGGCCCGTACTCACTCTTCTGCGTATGTCTCACCCGTTGATGAATGAATGGATCACCTGAGGACATTATTCGTCCATCTACTGACACCCTGATTTGGGCATTTGCTACAACGAAAAAGCTCATTGAGAGAAAACCAACCTGTCTGTCATTGTGGAGGACGGGGTGGTAGCTGGAGCAGCTGTGCGAGTAGCAGACGCGACTTCCTGTCGTATCTTTGCTTTGAGCTCGCCAAGCATCTAGACTCCAGCAAGTTACTTTTAACGGGTGAAACAATTGCATGCCAAACTATTGATCAAAAAGCAAATAGCAGCAATTAGTATTTTCCTGCAAGTCAATGAGATATAGATCAGTGGATCATTTTGATGGCAACTGCCCACATAAAATGCTCAATATTTTACCTTCAATTACCAGCAGGGTCGTGCGAAAGATTCTTTCCAGTCCACTTCGTTTCACATTACAAGGGAACTAATCATCAACGCAACACATTTACACGTTTAAGATTGCGTTCCAGCGTTGGATGTCATCCCCAGCCGGGAAAAACAACAGCACTTGTGGCCTTTTCCGTCGTTCTCGCATGCTTGCTTGCATGTCAGAACCTCCCTCGCATTGTAAAAATGAGCAGCCAACTTTTAGTCGAACATAAATTTCTAATTTGGTGGAACATTTCTTTTTTTCACTGCTTCTGAATATTCTCTTCCCCACTCCCTGTCAGCTGCAAATAATTCATGTAATTTGGTGGTGTGGTATTATACTGTTTTAATTACATAATGGCGGACTGCAGTTCTGCAGCTGAGTCACTATTCATTCATTCTCCTTTGATTACACAAAAATACCTGCCACTGCGGTCCCATTTTGTCAATGAAACTGATTTATATGTATTATTGCTTTGCTAGGGTCTCTGGTAAAAGCTGTGCTCATAAAGCTAACCCCTAATGGTAAGATAATAGTCCTTGGAACAATTCAAAATAACAGAGAGGGACGGAATGCAAAATGTTACATCTGGCATCTTTCGGCCTTTTTTTTTGTTGCCTTTTTGTGATTTTGTTTTCTTCATTATAAATTAAACTTCTGAGAAAAATAACTCAATTATCTAAAAGCCTTGTAGGCATATATTTATTTTTTGTGCAACTCCTTTTTAATGCGCACACATTCAAGGTTCTTTGGAAAACAACACCAGCTTTGCAACCAATGATTATCATTTAATAAATCTTGTGGGAACGGTTTCCCTGTGATTTCCACTTTACGAAGTTATATGGCTTCCTGTATTATATTTGCCCCACCTGTGCACAGCCCTGCCAACATGCCAATCATTACGTAAGATTATGTGCTTCTGCGTAGATGCAATAAATAGGTAGTTAAAGTTTCTACTGTGGGATTTACTGTACCATCTGTACATGATTTATAAACTTAAAAGCAATAGTGTGCATTTGTTCATGTATATGCAACACAAAGGTAACTGCAGGGGTGCAATAAGTACAATGCAGATCGCCGCCGGATGTGTCGTCACTGACCACAGATGTAATGTTTGATTTGGGGCTGTTGGAAAAGCCAATTTTCAATATATTGATCTATTGACTATTTACATTTCACAGTTTTAAAATACCCTTTATGTTCTGTTAGTCTGTTGTTTTGTTTGCAGGTTGCATATTAAGTTTCTCTTGATTTATATTCTTTTTCGAGGACGCCTCAGAAATGAGAGAGGAGGATTGATAGTGTCACAATCTGAAATAAAAAAAGCTATTATTAGCATCCTTCAAAAGTGAAACCTGAACAAAGATGCGGTATCTTCAGTTCTATCTCTTGTCACCTACGATAATCACACTTCCTTAATCACCAAAACACTCGTGCATCTGGGCCACTGAGGAAACAATCCCATTATCCGTCAATCTTTTAAGTCTATTTTCACACTATTTTTTTTTTTTTTCTGTTTCCCCTGAAAGCAAATAATTCTTGGACTACGTGGGGAAAGATTTGTGGTTTTAGTGTATTTATAAACAATGCCGGTGGCCCCAAAAAATAAAGTGACAGAAAATAGCTTAATCCTCAAAATAAAGTGATAAGTCCAATACTTTAAGTGGCCTTAGACTGGAGGGTTTAAGCCTTCAGTGCGATGCAAAAGGTTTCTGAGGGTTACCTTCGTTCTCCTCGGCCCTCAAGCCTCTTCAGCATAGATCTGCTATTTAAAGTGTAATAACCCACTGTACCCACCCACCCCCCCTCCCATCTCTCATTACCCCATGTCTGTGTTTGCCACTCACTTTGTGCTATTTTTAAAGCCACATCTCCCATTTGTGCCCCGATGGTTGACAGATATTCGCCAGTTAAATGTGATTTACAGGCTTTGGCAACGTTTTAGGAGAACGATGAGTCCTTTTTTGCGGCGTCCTCCGACGGCGTTGGAATGAACAACAAACATATCGAGGCTGAGATAATGAGGGAACATCCTCTGGCCCACATATCCACGTATCGTATACTACAATTGAAATAGCGCATTATGTGCCAACGCACGCCTGTTGAAATGGTTCGTCTCATCTCCGGGCCGCTACGCCACTCGCTATCAGTCGTTTAGGGACAAGCTGTGAAAACATCCTTCGTTCCTGCAAGATAAAAAAAAAAAAAAAAATCCCACAACCCCCCCCTCTTCCTTGACGAGTCCCTCTTTTTTCTGTATTGTACTTTTGTAATTGGAGGTGCCGTCGTGAAATCCATTCGGGGTGATAACAGATTTCACATCATGTTACTGGTTTGTTGTGGAAGAGGCCCGCTACATGAAGACGGCTAAAAATATTCCTCTTTCATGCGTCATCAATATCTTCATCACATGAAAGATGGGCGTCAGGTTGCATTTGCTGTGTTCCTTTAATGTCACTCGACAGGGAAGCATCTTGTCTGTGTCTGTGATACGCTATGCTTTTTTTGTCTACTCCGTAATTCCACTCTCACCGACGTGCAGAAAGCAGTTTTACACACACCGAGCAGCGAGGCCAGACGTGTGAGAAAGCTCGGAACAGAATGGAAGCGCCTTTGTCAAGGTGTAGAACAGAGCGGATGAGACGCGCTTCTGCTTGAACATTAGAATCTCTCAGTTTGCGTCGCTCTTCAAAATCTTGTCCAAACCAAGAATAAAGTCGCAGCGAAACTTCGATTTGTTAAGGTGACCTCATAACCGACATGTTGCAGTTATCTTCTGGATGTAATGTATGGCTTCTTCATCTGTACATGAAGGTGTCATTCATCATTATGGAGGAAGGGATCATCGCACTCTTTCACCACGTACTGAATAAGCATTAATAAACATCAACAGTAGGGTGAAATAAAAATAAAAAATACTGTAAACAAGACCTTCAGATGTTTTTATTTACATGTAATGAAAAAGCAATAGATGTCACGACTTCTTCCTACATCCCTGCTGCATACATTACTGCATCTCACTGACCTCACACAGGAAATCTACATTGTGCATCCAGTGGGAACACACGCCGTACTCTCAAATCGCAACCGGTAACTCACTTTCCTGCCAGATGTTTATCCTCTCGGAGTTTATTTCAGCCGAGCTATGAATATTTAGCGGCCCAAACTGTTGACTGCGCGATTTCTGAATGAATCCCGAAGTTCTCCCGTGTGTAATGGACGCTTCGCCGCGGCTCTCGTGTGCATCCACTGGGGAACTCGATAACTTCAAATAGTTTTAACACTTCAGAGAGCGCACCCACCTCACAGGAACAGGAAAGACGATGTCTTTTGTTTTTAAATGCAGCCGTGTGACAGTTCTTATTTCAGCAGCAACACAAGCAAAAGACCCAATGTAAGTCTAGCCTAATTATTTGGGTGGGTGGGTAGAGGGGGGGGGGCGCTATACAATTGATTCTGTTTTTTTCTTGTTTTTCGTCTTTAGGCAGTGTACCATTTTCCCTAGATACACACTACAAAGTGAATTCCAACTGCGCTCTGGGACACAGTGAGGAGACACAGGGATGTCCACAGGCAAAGGCCCTGAAGTCACACTCGTGAGATGCTAACCACGGCTCTGCTGGACACGCCCACTTTGGCCTCCGTCTAATCAGCGGCTGCTTGTGTTGAACCTAGAAACCCATTGATTTCTATGCACTTTGTACACTCATTTGCTCTGCACACACACACTCTCACTGTACAGGGCTGCACATGCTCTGTATGGAGGGGTCTGTGCGAGGCGGTTACCAGCCCATTGTAACATATTTTGAATATCTCTCTCCTCTCTCATCCTCTCCGCCGTTCCATCTGTGCCCTGTATTTGAAAGGGAATAGTTGAGCAGGCCTGACAAAGGGCGGCACAAAGGAGGCAGAGGTGCTGAGGGAAGCCGAGCACTGCTGGAAGGGATTCCTATCTGTTTGTGTGCGCTCGTGTTAATGATTTGAATACTACAATCGGCCTACCTATTTTCCATTGCATGCAATCGATGATCGCAAACAAACGCCTTTGAATACTACGAGTAATGCACAGACAAGTGTTTGCGCTGGGATGTGTAGGTGAACGTAACTAATGTTGAAACTCACTTTTTTATTTGTCAGGTCTGCAGGGTGAATGGAGATGTAAAGATCAAAGAATGAAACGGCAATGAAACTTTCAAACTGTTCAGTTAGAGGATGACACTAATACGTAATACTGCGATTAAAAAGCAATTTTAGTACATTTATGGTCTGAAGAAAAGAAAAAGAACCATTTCTCATCTGCATTGTGTCTGATTCTCCTCTGTTTGAAAGCAGTTCAGCACCGACTGGGCACGGCCCCCGCCTGTCACGCCTGTCGGAGCGAGCCCGTCTGGCCCTCAGCATGCTACCGTCCGAGCTGGGCCTGCCGTTGCCTGGGCAACAGCGGTCGCGCGGTAGCTGGCGTTGCTCCGTGCGGCAGCTCGGCCTCATTATGCTGCTGCTGGCTTTGATGTGGTTTGTGAGGCTCTACCTGCATTACTGCAGCCAGTGGCTCTACCTCCAGGCCATAGCAGTTCCTGTCAACAAGTGAGTTTGCCTGCTTTGATATCACCCTGCACGCACACACACGCACACGCACACACACACACACATTTGTGTGGAGTGTTGCAGGGCGTTGGGGGGGGGAGGGGTATGTATACTCACAAAGAGTAGGACTACGTGAATGCTTTTACATGGAGGCCAGATACATGAACAGATAAGCGCAGCAAATTGCTGATTCACACAGATGCAAAGTGCGTTTTTTTAGAAATGGGATGTGGAAGCGGTTCAGGAGGAGAGGAAAGGATGAGGATGTGGAGTGTGTGTTGGTAAACATGCACACACACACACACACACACACTGAAAACACACACTGCATACGCCCAAATCATCTGTATGGAATCCCCCCATTAAAATGTTCACAAGACTCAAACCGTTTGCTGGGGGAGTTTGTTGATTTCACCACACGGATTTAAGTCCCAAAGGGTTACATTATATGGAAGGAATTTATTGTTGTTATTATTTGGTGCACAGCATTGATAATAAACAGCAATAAGATACCAGAGGACTGTTAAATCACATCTCAATGGCATATGGTGCTGATTTAATTCCTCACAATAAAACAAGCCGGCTGCAAACATGCCTGCAACGCTGTATTTATCACAGCAACATGGGGGGTGCAAACATCACGCATTAAATCATGGAAAGTGGTAAAGGGAGAAAAAAAAAATCATGGCGGATTAAAAACAAAGGATGGACTGAGGGGATGGAGGAGGTGAAAAAACCCAAAAATGTGAAAACAGAGGGGGTCAGCGTCAGATGACAACTTCCACATGTCCATATCTGCTGCTCTCCCTCGGAGCACTTCTCTCTCCATGTGATGGCCAGAGCTGCTGGTGCCCAGTGAGAGGGAGGGAGGGAGGGAGAGAAAGAGAGAGAGGGGCCAAGTGACAGTCAGAAGGGCTGGTGATGACAGGCCGTCCTCCCTTCTTTTTTTTTTATCTCACTCTGTTTTGTTTTTTTTTCTCCCCCTTGATCTCGTTTTTTTTCCGTGTCTCTTTGCCTCCTTCTTCCCCCGCCCTCGGACACCAGTGGACATCCAAATGTGCCTCGGGGGCCCCAATGTTGGTGCGGTCCACCGTGAGCTCTCCTTTCTTCTTTTACTTTTATACACTGACACAAGTCAGAACGCCAACAATTACTCTGGTACAAGTTCTCCTTTCCCAACTTAGCTTAACTAAAGTAAAAGAAAAACTAGTCATTGTGCACCCTGACACACTGGATGCCCCTGTCAGTATGTATAGATGTATATTATTATATATCATATCGTGGCTTTGTATTTCTGACCACCACCGATCAGGACATACACCTTCCTGAGCACCTGTTCATGCAGTTTTGAAATTTCAGATATCACATTTGAAGGGACACAAATTTGATTTCATGTGGAACGATGCCTCTGATGTCAAAACCCTGTTAGAATTTATTGGACTGGAAAGTTTTATTGTGTTAAATCAAGATTCCTTATAAATGAAATATTCAACTGTCATTCTTGGAATGAGATTCATAAGTGCAATTTATCTGGAATATATAACTCCTCGGTGTTAAAAATAGCGTTGAAGTGTCCTGGCCATTCGAAGGCTGTGTACCTTTTTTGAGGATAAAATCTCCCGTGTTCAGAGTCTGAACCGTCTCAGATAAAACAACAATGGACCTCCGCTGTCAGTTTAATGGACAGTATCTGAGAGAGGCTTGACTCTTGGAGCAAATCAGATGGAAATTAATGAGCAAAAACTGGACCTCTCCCCTCCACACCACTGGCTCTGCCTCCCCCTGACTGATGGGAAGATTAAGAGACTCATGAGGCTTGCGGTAAACGGGGAGTGTAACTTACAACAGGGGGCCAAGAAAAGCTCTCACAAGTAACCGCGCAGGTGTCAATACTGTTATTCTGTTCATTTTTTTATCCTTTATTTGTTTATCCATAACTTATATACACAGAATATGTTATACTCATGTATTAAATGCCAGTAAGACAGCAAAATAATATGTTATTGTCATAAGGCTAATTAACTATGATTGAATGAACCACAAACAACACAACATCGGTGGAGCCAGTTGCCCTGCAAAGCATCACTAACACAAGTACACTAGGCGCACATTGACACATACACATAGTTCACACTCAAACACTCACATTGCAGCACAACATCACCCTTCTCCTTCTCCCCCCCCCTCAGATTCCAGTTCCACGCACACACGGTGGACCTCGTTTACCAGAGTTCTTTGCTCCACACCCGGGAGGAGCTGGCGATGGTGGTGGCGGGTCCCCTGACCTTGAACGCAGTAACGTTCCTGCTGGTTCTGATCAGATGGGGCTGTCAACAAATGTTTGGCTCACTCCCTTCCTTCACGTCAAAGTTTATCATGGCTCAGGGAGTGTGGACAGTCCTCGACCCCCTGGCAGTCTTTGCAGTGGACGCCGTCCTCGGGGTAAGTCACTTAAATATAACTTGGACACTTGTGCACTCTAAATAGGAATTCACTTTATCTTGGCAAAGTGACTTTAGATTACAAAAAAGAGGGTGGGGGGGGGGTGAGAAAGAGAATGTGCGAGGTTGAACGGGTGTCTTTTTTGTTTGTGGCTTGGGTCTTGTCACTGAGGAAGACTGAATGTTTGCAGTTGAGAGGTGAGTGACGTGTAAATCAAATGCTCTGCTAACTCCCAGCAAATAAACCTTTCTTCAATCTTTGGGTTTTAAAAAGTTGCAAGCAAGGCAAGTGAAGCGCATGTGAAGCTTTTTCTCGAGCCATCATGTGATCCTCATCATCATGCTTCCCAACAGCGTCCGTCCTTCTAAGGATGTTTGTTTGTCTTTATTTTAATCTCCGTCTCCTCAGCGTCTCGCCTACAGCCCAGACACACCAGTGGGGGACGCGGCCAAGCTTTACTGGCACTTCTATCGGGTTGACCAATCAGGTGCAGCAGGAGTGATCATCACTCTCTTCCTCTACACGGTCCTCTTTCTGCTCTCCACAACCATCCTCTCCATAAACATCCTCAGGTGAGACACACGGGAGGCAGATGACCGGATCCAATGCCGCATCATTTGGCAAACTGGGGATGATGAATGAGAAACTTGCATGAGGTTATTTTTCACTGGCAGAAATATCAACAATATGGTGATAGATGTATATACACATATATTTATACGAAGCTATTAAATCATCAGAAAAGAGGTACATAAGACATAAGACAAAGAGCAGCTATAGCAGGGAATTATCATTTGGGTATCTTAGAAATGACGCGGCCTTCAGAGTAGTAAAAAACAATCAAAGGGGAAGACCGTTGTTGAAACAACTCCAGCCCACCACTCTCATGCACCGGTTCAGAAATGACTAAACCCCCCCCCCCCCCCTGCCGTAGCCTCGTGCCACGTTCCACCAAGTCCTGCCCTTCTCTGTCCACAGAAAAGCACAAAAAAAAGAGAAAAGAAAATGAAAACAAATGTTGATCTAATCCATTTTGATTTTATAGTCGCATGGAATTACTTATGCAGCTATGCATTTACCTCACACATCTACACACACACAGTCAGCAGACACAAAAGCAGAAATACACGCACCACACAGTTTCCTCTTTTGAGCACACCACGCTCTGCGATTGGTGGGAATTCAAAAGTTAGATGTGTTTTAAAATAGCGTGAATATGTAACGGCCTTACACTATCCGATTAGGATGGTCGGTATTGTTGCACGTTTCATACATATTGAAATGGACTGCTTCTGCATGACGGTGCACAGAAATACCCTGTTTTACTGCAGCGTGTGTTCCACTCATGTCTTGCAGATTGAGGTCACACATTTTGGTTTGTATTATGTTTTAGCACCTCAGACTGTTTTAACACATTATCTCTCCTAAGCCTTCGTGTCCTTTGTAAAGCTGTTAGAATATCCCAAACAGCTCCGGTCAATAACTCTTTTTTTCTCTCTTAGAAAATGACAGCAGAAGTCATTGCGTATTGCTGTGGGATAACGGAAATAAACATGCACAGCACACCAAAGATTATAAATTTCCAGCTTTAAGGATGGCTATTGAACTTTTTAAATAATAGAAGGGCATCGCCGGGTGATAAATGACTGAATAATGTAACTCAGTGTTCATCCAAGGTGTGTTCTCCCACCCTCACACGAGACCAAATCCCATTAACGGCTCAAAATGTAAGAAAACACTTATTGAATTAATCAGTTTGAGATTGTTCGGCCGAGGAGAGGGTGCCATCTAATTTCAGTAAGCGGGACGCTTATCGGGCTCCGGCTAAATGGACAATATTAAAACAGCAGCCGGGAATAATGACTTCTGCCACTCAACCGCCACGCGGGTTTGAGTTGAATGTAGGCCACGAGGCTGAAGCAAGGCTGATCATTTTATGGGTTACAGTTTCCTATTGGCTGCAAGGAAGGGTGCTCTGACACAGTGCGTGACCTATTTCTAAAAGAAATCCCTCAGGCGGTATGTATAGATAGAATGGACTGTTATCCTTTTTTAATTACATTTTAGGCAGCTTTTATTCACTGGCTGCAAATATACACGTCAGTGACGTGTTTTGTATCTCTTTCGTCTTTGAAACTTCATAAACACCAAGTGATTCATACGACTAATGTTATACTTGATTTGCATTCCTTTACATAACTTCTGTGGTTCCGGATGGGACATGTTTTGAAATGTAGATACACCAGTTGTAGCACAGACGTCCTCATGTCCAATGCACTGATGTACTATTATATACTGTAAATTGTGAATTGCCATGTGTTTGGAAGGTCTTTTACTTTAAGCAATATTATGGTAATTTTATATACAATATTCAGCGATTGGATTTGGTCACAGACAGAAAATCTTGGATGAATTTCGAAATTCATTTGTTTAATGTCCGAACGATTCCCCCCCAAAAAACGTCCATGTCATGTCATGGTGAATATTCCGTTAGAATATATTAAGTGAGTTAACACATGTCCTTATGCAGGAAGCGCTGAAGAGGGCCTTACCATCCAGGTCGAACCTCGGATATAAGTATCACATGCTTGCATTCAGAGCACTTCCAACGCCAAGGAAGAGCCTGTTTTGAAGCACCAACATGCAAAGATGGTAAAATCCTCCAAGAGCCGGACCGCATAAATGAATGAGAAGCAAGATAGAAGTGTAGGATGAAAATGAATACATGCTATTCCTGTGTCTGAGGTCAAGATTCTACAAACAGCCCCCTCCCAAGAGCGATGGGGAATGATGCTGAGTTCAAAGCTCCGTACCAGCTTCTTGTATAAATCCCGTCTCCTTGATGTTGGTTTTATTTGAGAGTTGATTACCCTCTGACTGACTTGAATCTCTACGGAAGGGCACAAGGTCTGCTGGTTTTGATGGTCAGCCAAGGCATTTGTTTACAGATATGGTGATTCTTTTTAGGTCGTGGCTGCATGCGCCCTTCTGTGCAAAAGGAAAACTAACACTTTGGTGATGTGCGCTCATCTGGAGGTATGAATCAATATGCCTTCTGCCGCGCCGAACGTTTTCTTGTGACTCAAGCCGGTCTCTCCAGACGCATTCCGCAAACCGGCACGTCCAATGCATCTGCCATCTTTGAAGCGCGGTATTAACACTGAAGAACATCCCGGGATCTGACTCCCACACAGTAACAGATGCACAACCAAGCAGACCCACAGCCAAACGCAGACCTCACTGGCGCTTGTGTTAACAAAGTGCTTCCCACTCAGAGGCCAATTTGTTTGATTCCTTTTGCTCTTTTATTGTGTTTGTATTGATGTATTAGACATTTGTAAAAGCGTCACACTGCAAATGTGCTTTGTGAAATCAATAGAAGATTCATATTGTTTTTTTACCAGCAAGCCGGAATCATCCTTAACCAGTTACACAGCAGCCAGCCATCGTGAAAAGAGAGCAGATGTTTAGCATGGAGGTAGACGCAGAGCTAGTATCATGTGCATATGATACTGCGCCATTTGACCCCGTGTGACCATCGCAGAGCAGACACAGTGTAGAGCAGCGTCAGATGACCTGCACTGATTGGAGTCCGTCTGGGTTGCTTTTGAATTAAATGAAATGTGTCCGTTGGTAAGCAAGGATTGCTAATTTGCATTAGCATCACTTTCCGTTAGCTCCCGTTGGTCGGTCGCAATCAACCTCGGATCGGATCAACCCTCGTTCCTGCCGCTCCCTCACTTCACACCTTTCCTTCCAGATTCCACAACGACGGTCGCATGCTGGACGTTTTTCAGCGGCTCACAGCCACAGAGGGGAAGTACTTCCTGCCTCAAGACCTGGAGCTGTCCAATCAGGAGCTGAGCTACATCGTCAAGAAGGCAGAGCAGTGGCGAGGCTTTAATGGGGAGAGGCGCAAGGTGAGCGTCTCAGCCTCTGCTGCCGCTCTTGAAAACGGTCCTCAAACCCACGGCGGTTAATCGGGCTAATTTGTTTTTTCCCGACGAGTGAATCGACCAAAAGGTCGATGATACACGTTGGATTAGACTGTGCGTAGCCAAGGTATTACAGTAAAATCCTGCCATGTTGTGACGCTGAAGGAAAGACTGATGAGTGCGACGCAAGAAGGAACATTTAACGGCAGCCATGACACCACATTGAGTGTGGTCACGTCCGAGAGGATGTACAGGACAGGCTCATTTTATATCATCACATTTTCTTTAGTTACATTTCAGAATGCTGCAGATTCATCTCAGAGGTCTTCAGCTTCATTCTAATTAGTACAAGATAATTACCAAAACAGAAAACTCGGCTGCCTGATTAGTCGGTGGAAACCAATTTCCGAAGATATTTCATGAAAGAAAGACTTCTCAATCAACACGCATACACACACACACACACACACACACACACACACACACACACACAGTAGGGTGCACGGGCACGTAGGCCACGCCGGGCCTCTAGTTTGCATAAATCCATGTGCCCATGAAATGACTGCTGCTTGGGAGAGGCTGTCGCATGTTTGGCGGTCCCGGCGCAGGTCGATGGGGATGACGCAGGGAAGGGCAGTGTATTAGCACCGAGCCGACACCCATTGCGGAATCTTTGCATAGTGATTGAAAAATGTGACTTGTTGAGATAAGAGAAATGGAACACCAGCGATCAAACTGCAGCCCCCTTTAATTTATTCCGCAGGACTTGTTAGTGTCGCTCGGTGTTCTCCGTGTTCATTAACACCTTTGCTCTTTGCTCGCACGCGTTTTGCGTGGTTGTAAAGATGTAAAATGGAACCAGAATCTACATTTGATTCTCGGTTTCTGGTGAAAGACTCGCTGTTAGGAGCGTTTGAATCCGAATAGAAACGGTCTCCTGATCACCGTTAATAAATAGAGTATCTCTTGGAATGTGTCACATAAATAAAAGCAGTGATTGCAGTTCATCAGTCAGTGTCTTTACAACAGGCTTGTTTTGAACACGGTCGATCTGCTGCTTTATTGAGCACTATGAAGGCGGATCATAGAAATCTTCAGTAATTGACCTGAAGTAGACAGAAGATGATGAATAGTGTTGGTGCTAGAAAAAGGAACGCCCTTCTGACCACATTTCATTAGTTCACTCACCAGATATGAATTGTGTTATCTGTAACTTACTACTTTTTTTTCCCTTCTTCAACACCTGTCTTGTAAGCCGGAACGAAGTGCAGCCCTGGCCGCCAGAGGTGACAACACTAATGCTAATTGAAGGGTGATGGACCTGTTCGTGGCAGAAAATTGAACCTCCCAATGTTTGGAGACTTTGAAGGAAATTACACCCCCAAAGTTTGTGATTAAGAAAATGCTTCATTTAGCCGCTGATGGCCTCTTGCTGTGGTGGCACTGCTAAATCATCCTCGCATTACTGCAAATCTCCCTCCAAAGCAACAATTACAGCATATTTCATATTGTCCCTAATTTGCCGTTATTAAACTGTTAAAAAGCTTACACGTTAACACATTCTCCAGCATGATGGAAATGTAGGGTTATTGCATTTCATGATTTTTACATTACTGAAGCTGGCCATTTTTCATCAAAATAAGATGGCTCATGCCATTATTTCATAATTATTGTAACACTTTCTCCTGTGAAAAGGGTCACTTTCCTAACTCAGCAAAGACATATCCCTATTAGACTAATTTGGCTACATGCAAATCTTTTGTCATTTTTCCCTCATTAACTATTTATCAGAGACAGGAAAAAAATATATTCATGAAGGCGAGCAAAGGAGCAGCCCGACCGAGCTGAAGCTAATATTTTGCAACTCTAATGATTTTTTGCATCCTTAATTAGATAGAATAAGGTTGATATGATTAGGTCAGGATGTAGTGTTTTTCATTAAAAATACATTTCAGAAACTGTATTCCAAATGTGCCCTTGCAATTAAATAATGAAACCGACGCATTCCTTATTACGGACCCAATTAATATCAGAGGCAAGGGCGTAATTTTAATAACAGTCGGCCACGAGGCCTTCATTAGCTGGGTGAGAGTGAGGACGGATGAGGAGAAGAAAAACAAGGTACTCACACGAACAGCAGCAGGCTCATTTTGAGCCAATTTTTGACAGTTATTGAACGGCAAGCTCTTGAAAGTAAAAAGATTGACATTTTCAACAAATCTGATGTGGGGCAAGCAGGAACTGAAAATGCTTCTTGTTTGTTTTTGACTAATTTGATACCAGTTGTATGTCAGGTGCCAGACAGGGAAACTGCAACTGGAAAATTATTTAGAGAATCACAAGTAACAAGTATTAAACATGCTTCTTTCATTTTAGAAACTCTTTTGCTGCACCCTTTAAAGTCTTTTCAGCTGCTCTGGACACCAGTTAGTAATTTGTTTCTTGACTGTGCATCAGCCTGGAAACTTTAAATAAAAAACGTGGTAGAAATCAAGGTTAGCACTTTGATTTGACAAGGCAACCTTCTTTTGTACCTGAACGGTCACCACTGGTCACATCCCATGTAGACTACGCATGATGTCACCACACCATTAGGAAAAAAGTGAGTAATTGTTGACACGCAAAATATATGCGTAACTATGCTGCAAAATGTGGTTTAAAAGAATGAAATGCATCTGCAGGGATGCAAAGCATCTGAGGCCTCCCAATGCCATGTGTCATTTTGTGACATGAACGGATTATAATAGTGAAGAACAAACAAAATGAGGAGAATATTTTAAGCAAAGAGTGAAAACTATATTTTTGGATGTGAAAAATATTTGCAGCAAAATCTCTGAGTCTAAATCTCCCTGCAGCACCGAAACAATAAAAAAAGAAAAGAACCCACGTTCAATAACCAACTTGCAAATGGCCTATTATTATCAAACTTGTAATTTTCACAAGGCAGTAATGAAACATAATCTGATTTTGCTTTCTCACCAATTAACTTTATATTATAGATTCATCCATGCCATATGATCATTAGAGCTGCTTCGAGGTTTAAATATGACTCTCGGGTTAAGATGTCAGCAGTGGAGCGTATCAGCTATACTAACGAGTCAAGGATCCATCGCCATGTGAGTTCTTTTAATTTGATCGCAAGAAGGGAGGATAAAGAACGACGTTCCATCAAAGCAAAAGTCACACTGTTTACACACTTCATGTGTAGTTTTATTGTGTAATAATACATCTCTGCATTCACTTTTACCCAATGTGTTTACCCATTTCTTTTTTGCAGCTTTGGTTTAGCATCAAAGCTAACAAAACCTTAATAAGCAATAAGAAGTTGTCCTATTTAGTTGGAAAACTGCAGCCAACACTGCAGAGTAGTCAACCAGAGGGCAATTTACACAAAATGAATCGAACAAACAAAGACACAGAAGCCCTGACGTTCCCGCCGCGTTTGGTACTATCACGCTCTGAGCTAGTGAGCGTGCTAGCATGCTCCACATAATAGTAGTGGTTCAGTAATGAGCCCCATTAATTATGTAAAAGGCAGTGATGCAGATGGACCTAATTAATTGTCTCCCGTCACCCCGTTGATTACTGTACCTGGAAGGGAGGTGTTAATTTCTGTAATACTTAAGAAGGTACGCAAACTGTTTTGTCAGAGCCACAGCCATGACAATGACGGAGTGGAGGGCCGGCTCGCCCGCTGCAAAGCCCCTTTCCTGTTATACCACGAACAGGAAAGTTTCCCAGGTGGTGGTGGTTGGTGACATTGTGATAATTGAAAGAGAGGGGGGAGAGATTAAAAGAAGTGGGGAAGGAGAGAGCAGAAAGGGGAGTGTGGGGGGGGGTGCGGTGGCCCTGGAGATGTTTTCGCAACCTGATTGCATCAACATTTGCGTACCTTTCGCGCCGTTTGTCTCCGTATGTCTAGGTAATGGGTTACCAGCGGGCAAGTTTGGGAACACCCAAGGTGCTTTGCAACAGCAGCGTGGTTGATGGGGAGTAAACCTGTTGAGAGTCAAACAGCACAGATTGGAGTGGTAATGATATCCCGAGTCTGGGAGGCTGGCTGTTAATCATGTCAGATGTGTTCTCCATTTGAATGTACATGCAGCAGTGTCGTGATCATCTAACCAAAGAGATACCAAGGTCATCCTTTTTCCTGCCAATTACCACGTGACAGAAAACAGCATTTCTTCATTTAATCTCATTGCAAAATATGAATTCTTTATTGCGTTGACTTTCAAAATATTATGATGTGTCGCTATTTAGCATAAACCTGCAGACCTCTAAGTAGAACTTATTTAATATAATTCCATTGCTTTCATAGTCAACGTGGTCTCTTAACTCGACGGCCAGCTCTCTACCCGCTTTATTCGTCAGTCTCGCTGCGCCGATCCTACAGTAGGGTGCGGATGAGGTCACCTGAGATTCAAATCTAAACTCCAGCGGAGGAAGAAGAGGCTTTCGGAGAGGAAGGCGGACACAGGGAGCAGTAAGCCGTGACATGATACACAGGAACCGCTGTCACACAACAATAGAGTCCTCAGCTCCTCAACAGGAACCCATAACAGCAACACAGGAACACCAGCAGAGGAGAGGATGAGCGGAGTGCTTCAGCAGGGGTCGTGTAGAGTCAGAGGGCAACTACTGGTGTGTGTGTGTGTGTGTGTGGAACCAACCCCCCCAATAACCTCTACCAAAGAGCAAAGTGGTCAGTGGGTGCGTGCGTGTGTGCGCATCCGTGTGCTCAGCGGCCTGTGTGTGAATCCAGGCCCGTGCACGGTGTGCATGTGTGTCCACCATCATACACGTTTGGATGTGTGAGCACATGCATGGAAACCTTTCCGCGAGCCTGCATGTCACATTAGAGTGGCTTCTTCAATTACAGCGGATAGCTCTTTTTTTTTTTTCTTTTTTCCAGCGGACAGCACTGAGGGCCCCGATGGCCCGAGGCAACAGCAAAGCAGGCAGGCAAGGACAGGAGCAAGCAC